AGCACATAAATAGTTATCAATTTTAATATGGAGTATACTCCGTATTTGTTTGTAAAAATTGAATTACACAAGTTATGTGAGTAAAAAAAGAAACATTTTTTTTTATCGTGGGGCTCATCTGCTGTACTCCTGCAGTCCTGCTTATCCCCTTTCCCATCATCAGTTTTTCTTTTTTTTTTCTTTTTCTTGGGGTGAAAATTTTTAGTAGTTGGACCCAATCCCTCGGTTCCAACTTCCAACTATCCATTTTCAGTTACAATTTTCAAGTTTATACCATGGTTGTACAAGAATCGGGGTGGAAACTTCAAGTTTATTCTTTTCAGTTACAATTTTCCTCCCATGTTGCAATTGATCTTGCGATAAACTTTTGTCATTTCAAGGTCCTTTAAAAGGTTACAGAAGCAGGTTTTGGGTCGAATACATTTGTTAGATTGGATGCTGTTCTTCAAGTCCGTTTTTAGGGGTTATGCAGAACAGGCTCCCAGATTTTTGAGGCCCCAAATTTTTAAATTTCTTTTAGTACTATATAATATGAAGTAATATTATACGGAGTATATTAATACAAATCAGTAAAGTACATTTAGTAAGCAAGAAAAATATAAATCTATCATTTTTTCGTTGGTGCTTTTACAATTTAGTTCTTTTTAATGAGTATTCAATTGTTTTGAGTATAAATCTTTGGGTTGATATTTTTTTCAAATTGTTTTCATGTGGAGCCTCAATTTTACATTTACAACCAGGACTTTCAAATCCATTAGACGACCCTGTTCTTCTTTAACATTTTTATTCTTCCTTCCAGATTTCCAGTATTATACTTTGTGTAGTATCCAGAAACTTCACAAAGTTGTACGTTTTGCAAAACGAATTTGCTCGATTCTAAATATTCTTACATAAACTGAAACTATCCAGTTTCCTAAATTGGTTTAAAATATCTTAAACTGAAATTGAAATTAAAAAGGATTGTTCTTGTTTAATAATACTGACTCAGTGTGTAACAAACTAACAGCAATAAACACTTTAAAAAATTATGTCAAAAAAGTGTTCAAAATATTATCTGGATTCTGGGGGGACATCATTATTTTTAATAAAGGTAGTAAGGTACGGTGCCCATGATGGACTTTTATACGGAGTATTACGTAGCATTTAGCGATGCAAATCGGAAGGTGGGTTTTGGTCAAAGAGCCTTTAGTGAAGGGGTGAACAGGTATTTCGTTACTTAACCAAACCAAATCTCATCTATCGTTGAGATTACTGTCCTGTCTGTCCATATTTGTAATGCCAAAAATGGTAAAAGTCTTGTAATGCAAAAAAATCTAGGAGTAACTCATATTTATATATATTTTAAAATTACGAACTTTTTTACTCCTATTTAGGATTTTATATATATATATATATATACACACAGGGAAATAGAACTCGGTAAGATCTTTCCAACGAGATATTAAACGCTTTATTTGTACCGTTGAAAGCGTTTAATATCTTGTTGGAAAGATCTTACCGAGTTCTAAAACTTGAGTTCAAATAAAAAGACATTTTCCCGTGCAAAGTACAAAGATATGCACTTTTACATGTTTCGCTTGCACTTTTTCGTGCTTCTGTTGCACTTTTTCGCGGTAACGAAAAAGTGTAACATATTTACGAAATTGCCACCGCGATTTTGGTGAATTTTGTGCATTTTTGGCTCATTTCGAGCCATTAGATGTGGAAATGAATGCACAAGATTCATTCTCACTTTTCATGGGAAGAAGTCTTTATATTTGAATCATCCCCTATATATATATATATATATATATATATATATATATATATATATATATATATATATATATATATATATATATATATATATATATATATATATATATATATATATAGAAAAGATCACGTGAGGAGTCCTCCTTAAGATGAGAAGTGAGAAGTAATCTCAGCCCTTGGATTTGCATCTAATCTTACAACGCAGCAAACTTATAGACTGAATATAGTAACTTATAACCAATAAATCATAACTTATAAAGCTCTCCATCTTAATTACGAAATTGCCACCGCGTCAAAAAAATTTCCAGGTTTCTGGAGTTATTTGGACGCGGTGGCATTTTCGTAATTATTTTCGAGGGGGTCTATAAGTTATGATTTATTGGTTAAAAGTTTGTACTTTTAGCTTATAAGTTAGACTTCGCAGCTTATCAACCTAAAGACACTTCTCACCTGATCAGCTTCCTATATATATTAGTAGTGTGTTCATGTGAAAATTTTAATGGAGAAAGAATTTGAACCTTTTAAACGTAACTTTCAACTTGCATGTGAACATGTTAAAGAATTAGAAAATAATGGAAATAGAAATAGGCAAGTAGTGTGAGACTGTGAGTGCCATACAATTACTCTTTCCATCTTATAAAACTTGATTAATCTTATTTCCACCTAGAAAAATAAAATAAAACTGTATAGTTTTTTAAATGCAATGAAATATTATAGTTGATACTTTTTGTGTGGAGGACAATTAAATAACACCAATCAAAAAATTATTTTAAAAAGGAATTGATACTCTTTGAATGGTTAAATAAAGATAATGACAAAGTCTAAGAGAAATAGTCGGTCCTATCTCGGACAAAAAATGATCGTGTATACGGAGTTAAATGATTTTAACTCCTACATAGGACATAAATGGTCCATATACGAAGTAAAACTCTACTATAGGATTATTTAATTGACATGTTTCTAATTTGCCATTCATTTTCTAATAAATTCATAATTGATCACCTCATTATAAAAGTAAGTGGTGAGAACTCCGTTAAATAACTCGTCCCATAATGGTCTTTTTGCTTGGGGGTTAACCTAGGTTATTGCAAGTTCAATTTTTTTTACCTCATTTATTTGTGTTTTTGCAACAAGAACTTTGGTTATGAGTTAACCTCACATAACTCTCGAGAACCTAGAAAAACCTTAAATTGAAGGACCTCCGAAATGGAGGTTTTGGAGGTTAAGTTCTCGTTTAACATAAAATGAGTTAAAGTACCTTCATCAAAACAACATTAACCAAAGTTCATCTTCTTTGTTTTCAAAAAATGTTTTACGCGTGAGGCTAGGTTCACTTAGGTTAACCTAGTTTTTTTAACTTAGATTTTCTTTATTGCACTAGGTTTACTTAAGTTCACTTTACCAAAACGGAATATAAGGTGTGTGGTTCAAATTATGTGAGATTTTTTTACATATTACGAGGTGGATTACCTAGTTTAATTAGAGTTACAAGATTGTCAAGCCATGTATATGTTTGGTTCAATGATTTTAATCTTTAAGATCACTAAGATTAGCATGACAATACTCAACGTCTAAACTATTCTTAAATTATTATGTACTCTTGCAATTTATATGCTATTTTAGGGTGACTAGTATTACATTTTTGCTATTTCAATCAAACACACCCACTAATCTTACATTTATACAACCTCATACTCCGTATTAACTAACTAGACAATCTTCAGGGGATCCGGTACACTAATAGGATAAAGTTTAATAAGATTTTTTACACTTTGTAAAAAATTGGGGTGAGCTCCGCTAGTGAGTAGATCCATTAGAAATTGTTCTAGATATGAGCAAAAACGTTTTAAAATTTCAAAATAGGAGTATGTTTTTTATTCCCTGAATATGAGTAATCTACCAAGTTTGGAAAAATATGCCATGTTTTAAAGCCTAATAATGCCAAACTTGGCAGAAATTTACTCCTATTTAAGGAATAAAAAACATGATACTCATATTTTGGAATTTCAAAACTTTTTTACTCCTGTTTAGGGAATTCTCCCATCCAGTATAGAAATGATGTTTTTGTCGAAGGTAATTATTTTGACTTTAAATTGGACCGGGGTTACATATTCTAGAGATTGTTAGTCAGCTCGAATCTTCCGATTCGATTTGAACATTTTAAACTTGGACATCAAAAAAAAAATGAGATCAATAACATTCTTTGAATCGATTAGGGTAGATGAATCTCCATTCGGTTTTTCCCACCCCAAATAAACTTATTACAGTATTACCTAATAGTTTTAGATTCTTACAATCCAATCTTACCTCCCTCAAAATGAACACATTACCTACTAGATTCTAATATCTCCAATTCTGCTTGTACACATTTTACTATTGTGCACACTTTGTTCCACAATAAAAAGTTTTTTTTGTTTGTAACAAGCAAAGAAAACCTTTGACAGACGCGTGTAAAAGAGTTTACCAGAGTAGGAGGATGTTTGGATCTTATTCTTAAAATTGTTCTTACTCTTTCATAGAGCAGAAACAGAAGTTAGAGTGTTTGAGTGAAAGTGCATAAATATTTCTAGTGCTCCGTCCAAAAGGTTGAATCCCCAACCCCAATGGCCCTTCCACCCCGACCCGACAGGATGGTGGGGGAGTAAATCACGGTGACTCAGTCGGCAAATCGGCAGTAGGCCTTTACCCGTGCGCACCAGAGGGCCAGCCTTATTTCAGGTTCTGAAAACCCCCTTTTGGCCGCTGCGGGATTCGAACCTTGGTCTACGTCCAATTTTTCCCACCACTCGACCAACTGAGCTACCCGTGCGGGTAAATATTTCTAGTGCTCAAATCTACTCATAGAAGCAGTTTTTTAGAAGTCGGGGGAAACCAACTTTTGAAAACTAATTCTAATTCTGATCCTGATTCTGCTTTAAAAAAAGCGGAAGCAAAATCACTACGAACATCTGAAAACTAATTCTGATTCTAATCCTGATTTTGCTTTTAAAAAAAGCGAAAGCAGAATCACTCCCAAACACGCCTAAAATGTGTACTAAAGGCTTTTTTCGTCTAATATTGGGAGAAGCAAAGGCCATCATCATAAATCAAAATGTTGATGATGATTTGACCTCCGGCCCGACTTGGAAGAGGTTGGATTGGTAGACCGAAGATCCAGCACTTTAATTCATCCGTTAATTACGGAGTATTATTACGAGTATTTTTTTTTAATTTTAATTAATCTAATTACTGTAATCCGTAACTACTTTACATACACCTATTTCTCAACGCCTCACACGCTTTTCCTTCCTCGTCTTCTCCGTTGACTCGGTGCCGGCACCCTTGCCGGAGAATAGTAAGGGGGATTGGAACATTCAGTATATAAGCCTGAGCAATCCTGATCAGTCTTTTCTTTGTGACAACTAAGTAAGTATTCTTATACAGTAACTCTAGACCAATTTATCTTTCCTACTTTTAATGGCCGATTTCAATATAAAGTTTATCGCCTCTGCTTTCCTGTCACGATTGGTTTGACTATTTTTCTTTTCCTCGCGTGATTTATCGATCTTGAGGCTCTCCACTTTAGAAATTCTCTCCCATATCATTTCTTCCCAGCTGCTGCCGCTGATTGCTCTTACTTATATTTCCATCTTTGATCTTCAAAGTTATGTGTTGAATATGGATTCATAGTTTGGTGATTTAGATTTTGATACTTATTTGTTAAATTTGTGGAAGACTCGAGGCTGAAGGTGACATTCTACGAAATTTGATGTATTCAATTGTTGAAAAAGATAAAAGTATGTCTGAAAACCCAGATGAGCTGAATATGCCTGGAAATCCAGATGGGCTGAATATCAAATTTCGATTGATCGATGGAACAGACATAGGGCCTACAAAATTCCCCTTGACTGCCAAAGTTGAAGAGTTGAAGGCAGCTGTTCTTGCTCAATTGCCTCAAGGTTGGTCAAGTGTTGCTTGAATATCCCATTGTAGAGTGTGGTTTGTTCTAGAAAATAGATGTTTACAAGAGATGTGTGTGCAGGCTTGAAACCTTACAGTCTGTTTGGGCGCTAGAATAAAAGTTCAGTTTCAGTTCTGAATTCTGATTCAAGCTTCCAAGCAGATTGTTATGTGTATTCATATTTGTTTCCTTGCTTTAACAGTTTCAATTCCATCAGTTTAATTGAATGTTTTATATCTCCACACTTGCACACTTTCTTTTCGATGAGTGTATTTGGATTGGAGGGAGTGGGGGGAGGGATTATCAAATTCTTTACTAAATGAGTTTAGTAAAGTGTATGAAGTGCCATAATTAATATATAAAAGAAAATGCTTTGAGAAGATATTAAAGTAAAGTGTATGAAGATATTTAAGATATAATGAGTTTAGTAAAGTGTATGAAGTGTCAAATTTCCTTGTTCTCCTTTCACTTTGAACACAATTTTCCTTGTTTTCCTTCCATTTGGAACACAATTTGGAGGGATGAATTGGGAGGAGGGGGCGGTGTGCAAACATAGACAATTCTTTGGTTCCATGGTGAGAGAAAGCATGCTTCCATGCACTCCTTAATATGTGTCCTTTGTTTTGACAACACTTCTTTTATTGTGTTACTAGACTTTTGAGATGCTGAAAGTGTGAAAAATTATGGTAATTTACAAGAATGAATTGTGATGAAATAAGCTGAGTTTCCTTATTTTCAAGTTCAATTGTGGTTGTGACATGAAACATATAGACATATAGTGTCAATTAGTTCTCCAAAATTTAGAAAAACTTGGCGAGAAAGTCTTACTCAGATCTGAGGCCATTTCTTGTCACCGCCTTCTTAAAAAGGTATAACAAGGAGAGATTTTGAAATTTTCATCACCATAATGGGTTTCTTTTCACTTTTATAAACACCATTACATTACAAGTTTACTACAATTTAAGATGATATATTTATATCCCATTAGAAGATTGTTTTGTAAAATTAACATGCACATCATGGCATATGAATGTAAATAAGAAAACAATAGGCGGGGACTGTTGTACTCGAGATTGATCTTATTGAATTAGATTCCTAATCAAGAAAAAGCTGAATTAAATAACATCATGGTTATATATTGTTTTGTGTTGTTCCATTATCCTTAATTTAAATGTGTGATTTTCCAGGACATTGTTGTTAGCTCATAAATTGTACACTCATTCATTTGGTTGTTCAGTGTGTCCACTGCAATTTAATCTTGTTAAGGTTTGACATTGCATTTAACTTTCATGCTTTTACAGCAGAAATATACAATTAACACAAACATTTCCTTTGAACAGAGAAGGAAAATCGCCTAATAAAAGAAAAAGAAGTCAAGTTGATAAGCGGAGGGAAAATTTTAGAAAACAGTAAAACAGTGGATGATTACAAGAACCAATATGCAAGCTCTGAAGATGTCACGATAATGCATGTTGTTATTAACCCACTACTCCAGGATAAAGGTCAGTACAACTCCATGCCGTGTAGATATGTATTAAAATATGGCCAACAGCTCTATTTTTGTTTGAAGTGTGATACTTTAAATACCTCTGTTATATCTATTATAACTTAACTTATGTGAGTTGGAGGTATACACTCTCTTCATGTTTTGGAATATGGAAGATGAGATTTGGATGTAGCTCTTCATCATCCATTTGGGTGGGAGTCAGACCTAATTTAATATTTATATTGAGTTTGGTCCAATGGTGGTTTATGGAGTGCCAGCTCAATGGATGGTTTGGACAGCCTGTTTGAAGTTGGTTTAGGCCCATTTGTCCACCTCTTCAGTTGTTCTAGCCCAATTTGTGGTGCATGGGGTGTGTGAGTATCCTGCATTGCTTGTTTGCTGGTCTTGAGTGTCATATAAGTGTGATGTAAATCTCATCTCTTAATGATCACTTTGGGATTAGTTAAACCTAATTTAATAGTCTCTTACTACCTTGATGACTGCATAGTGATGCTTTCCCTTTCTCTCTTTTAATGTTTTTTTCTTTCTTTCAATTACTTTTTAAACAGAAGAGAAGGTAACAAAAGACCCAAAACAGAGCAGATGTAGCTGTGTCATACTATGAATTACATCTCCAACTAGGTGACAAATTCTTCCACAACTTGGTAGGATTTGTTTCCTCTTAATTGGAATATAAAATTGGTAAGTTATAGCCTCATCTCGTAAGCGAATTGAGGACCTTGCTGATTAAGGACTGGTAGCAGCAGAGAAGAAGCTGAGGACTTTATCTCCTAATGCAACTCAGCCCAGATGATTGCTAGTTTTGGGCTTTACTACTATTACTAAGGTCTATAATACTCCCACTTTACAAGGCATGCGAGCAAATATTGTCGTGCCTGCCCTTCAAACAAATAATTTCAATGGGTAGAACATCTGATGTGTCTCCAAATTTTGCCATCGAAGGTCAATTTATTTCTTCTTTTTATGTTTGCCTTTTCTTTCATTTACAGTGATTGTTTGTCGTCAAGAAGAAGAAACAGAAATGTTTTATTTTACAGTGTAATAACCATGACAGCTTTGATGCTTGATGAATGTGTGTATACTTTGATCTTGTTCCTTCCAACTCAGCATTATCGCTCACATTTCATAAGTCATAACCCCGTCAAAACAGTAAAAACAGCATTATTGACACCGAGAATCCAAGATAACACCTAGGATGTTTTTACTTGGACTGAAATTTGCTGGTTTGGACTCATCTGGTTTGAACCGGTCACCTAGACCATATTTTTACAGTAATGGTTTTGGGACTCAAGGAGTGGGAAAGAGTGAGAATCTTCTGGGAAGATGATTAGTCTAATTGTGTGGTCTTCTTCTGTCTTACGAGACTTTAAGCTTGCTTGTGGTTAGATCAAGAATAGTTGTTGATATAGATAGAATCTGTGCAAGTCAAGGAAAGCTTTAGCATATATAGGCAAGAGATCACAAAGGGGTTTGGGGTTCTTCGCCCTTTTTGTATGGTTCGGCTTGCTGAATATGTTGCTTGAGGACTTGAATTGCTCTGGAGTCTGGAATATCATGCCCAATCATACTATTGATCACTCGTATATCTAATCAAATATCATGTGAGACCGGTGAAGAAAACCTATAATAATATGTACCTTGGAATTATATACAGTATACACTAAAAAACTGATATCAAACAGTACCAGGTGGATGTATTGATTCCGTTTGATCCAATCGAACCGTATCAAATTGAACTGAAACCAAATTACTTTCTTTACCCCGTTGGAAGGTTTCCATGGGTAAATGACACAATTTTTGTAGGCAAATGGTTAAATAAAAGATTTTGGGTAAAAAGAGAGGAAATAGAAAATTTAGAAAAAGTAAATATATAAAGTGAAAGTAATTAAAAGTAGATAAATCGGGAGAGGTGGAGTTGTTAGACTTGAAGTGTAATGAGTAGGAAGGAGAAATTTGAGTAAATGTGTAATTAAAAAGAGAATTATTTTCTAAAATGAGGTAAGAACCTTTAATGGGACACCCAAATAAGGAAAATGAGAACCTTTCAACGAAACAGAGAGAGTATATGTCATTAGGTTTGAGTTTAATAGTATTTATCTAAATCATCTAGATTTAATTTTACTGAAATCGTGAAAATCGAATAAAGCTGAACTATAAAGTTAAAGTAAAACCTTAATATATTTTAAAAAGTTAATAAATCTAAACCGAATCGAACCGAATAAACATAATTGAACCAAATTAAAACATAGTATTATTTTTATTTAATTTGGCAATTATTCTTGTGATTCGTTTCAAATCAAACCCTATTGAAAACGGATAAAAACCTAATTGAAATGGATATGTAAAACCCTAGTTAAATCCAGTGAATAACGTTGATAATGACTTTGAGAATTTCACATTTTTTCATCTTTTGGTATAATTGTTCTAATTCAGAAATCATTGATTGACTAAGAGCTCGTTTGGTAACACTGAACTTTGATCAATGCATCCATAAAAGTAACCACAATATTACCTTCTTTTATTATTACACAATTCAGCGCTCGAAATCAAAAATTACGCGATTGATTTAAAAGTTGACTGATAAGCCGGATAAACTAAAAAATAGAGTCATCAAATGGACTCTAAAATGAAATCCTGTGAATACGACTTAGAATTAAGGTTGTAATAAGTGATAATATTTACCAGCTTTTGTCAATTCTAAAAGAAGCAAGCATTCCAACCCAGTTGGTTGTGAAGTTACCGTACTTAGCGAGAAACCTCGAGTTCGAAACCGCTAGGCACATAAGAGTTTGAAACTCAATGCCCTGATTAAATGCAAGACATTTATTACTCCATCCTTGCATTTGGAGTTTTTGACCACGCCGATCTTCTCTAATGCGATCAATTGATAAACATAATTACACATACTCCGTACAAAGTATAATTTAGATATTTAACATTAATGATCTAGCAACCTCATTATTTCAACCATGATTTCATTAATTAATATCATATACTTTGTATTAGCATTTAATTTAGTATTATTATATTAGAACTACTTTTAAGGGGCTGTTTGGAGCTCTAAAAATAGGCTGAAAAGCCTTAAAATGCAAAAATATAGCCAAGCACATGACAAATAGGCTCTTTGAGCTGTTTTTTCTTATCAGCCAGAAAAGTGGTTACTTTAATTAACCTTTTGCTAATTAGCCAAAAAATAGCAAATTAACAATACGTTGCAACCCTTTTGCTAATTAGACTCCTGCGGATGAATCTGGTCACCAAGATGCATTAGGCGGTGGGGCTGTTTTTTTGTACTGCTTCCTTTTTATGTTGTTCTATGTGGAGTTTTTTCTTGGAGGGCGATATACTAAACCCACTGCTGTGCATGTTAATTTGTTAATATACTTTAGTAAAAGTATATTTATTAAATTAATTTACTCATATTAGTCACAAAATATAATATCAATGTCGCTCATTTGAAAATACACATTTTTCAAAAAGTAGTTAGTTGTATAAAACAATATAAAATTCGATGTAAGAGTAATAATAAAATTTTCAAAGTAATCAATTGCTTAAGTAGTCTTATGATTACCTAATCAAGCAAAAGTGGTTTATTAGTAAAATTCACACCCATATATTTAATACAAATAAGTTAATAGCCTTTATAGTAATTTTACATTCAATCAGTCATTTCAGCCAACATATTACCAAACACTTTTATTTCAGCAAATTCAGTCTTTTCAGGCTTTTCAACCATTCCAGCCAATGCAACTGTTACCAAACATGCCCTAATATTCTATTCTAAATAAATGAGAAATAGAATTGAATATAAATAAAAGAGTAAAAGGTAATTTGATGAGTGTGTTCAAATATTTCTACTATTTTTTTGGAAGAAATAGGCTTAGATTGATAACACATCATTCAGATAGTGGGTAATACGACGAACATAATCCTGACAACCGCCGTCCCACGAACCAGACTCAGAGTTAATCACCTCAAACGAAACAATATTTCTACTATATTTTATGAAAATATTTAATATTAAATTAAATTTATAGTAGAAATAAGTTCTCTGAATATTCGTGTCCAGATTTTTTGGATGGGATCGTCGTCTGGACACCTCGTTTTGAGGTGGTTTCCGATGTAATTTTTTGATGAAATTTTGTGATCATGTTCTCCTCAAAATGTAAGCTAAATATTCAATGGGAAAGTCAGTTAAATAAAATTTTAAAAACAATTGCGTTTTTATATAAATTTTGGCGCAGTTATCTTCAAAAAATTATTTAATTGACTTTCCAATTGGAGTTTTAGCTTAAATTTTGTAGACATAATCCACATTTAATGAAGAACATGTTCATAAAATGTCATTAAAAATTTTCATGGGACACTTCAAAACGAGGTGGTCAGACGGTGGTCCTGACTAGAAATTCCGGACAGGAGTACTACTCAGGTCAAATGTGCTATTGTTAATGTTGATATTTATTTCTAGTTTGTTATAAATGAAATGCAGAAAGAATAATGGAAAAGCTCACACTTAACAGTGTTAGTTCCTTGTTTATTTTTAGTGATGAAAAGCGATTAATCAAGTTGAAAGTTAGGATTATTTATGTCAATTTCTTCGATAAAATTTATTTCTTTATTCATAGTAAAAGTGAACAATAATTTCCGAACACAAATAATGCAGCTTCCAAAAATTTGAATACTACTCCATTTTTTAATTTATTAAATAAGAGTACGGAGTTATTGTTATATTTGATTTTTTAATCAATTATGATGATGATATTATAAAGTCAAACTACATCAAACTTTTATAGTTATAAAATACATATAAGTATAAGAAGTTTATCATCCTAGATGAGATCAATTTAAATCACACTAGGTCAGATTAATTTATATTAGATAGATTAGACAAGACAAAAAAAATAGTTTTATAAAAACGTAATCTTATGTGGAAAAGAATAGTACTGTGTGGGAGAAATCCCCAAAATTGAAAGAAAAGAGATTGCAAAATCCATACATACCACATATGTGTTTGAAAACTGGTGTTTTAGTAATAAAAAACAGCCGTTTAACCTCTTTTGACATTTTCAATGAGTGAAAATGCAATTTGGTAAATATTTGTTCGGCCCTAACAGTTTTGGACCGAACACTAATTGTTGTGGGTTAACGTTTTTAATATGACGTTTTTTACTAATTGTTATGACCAAATAATTAAAGGGAGAATGGAAACTAATAATCGAACCTTTTAGCGATTTTCTTACAATAGTCTTACCTTTTCATTATTCAGAAATAATCCAACATTTGCACCCAATCTTCATTCAATGCTCCTTGACCGGTTGATGATCTGTTATTCTAAGTTGTTTTCTTATCTTTGCAAAACATTTTGTGGCCATAAGGTGAGATTTATGGTATACGTAGTAATATATTACAAAGATAAGAAAATAACTTGGAATAACATGTCATCAATCGGTCAGGGACCAGAGAATGAAGTGAGGCGCAAAAGTCAGATTATTCCTGAATAACGAAAAAGTGATACTATTGTAAGAAGAACGCTAAAAGGTTGGATTATTAGTTTCCATTTTCCCATAATTAAATTACTCCCTCCGTCCCGTTGGAATGTTCCCGCTTTCCGTTTTTGGATGTCCCGTTGGAAAGTTCACATTTCCCTAAATGGAAAGTTATCCTACATCAGAACAGGGTCAAACAGTACAAAACAGTGTCAAACAGTGTCCAAACAGTGCCAAACAGTGTCGAAATAGTGTAAAGACAATAAAATTTACCTCCTCATAAATTTATTTCCTTAATATGTGTGTAGGTCAAACCGGAAACATTCCAACGAGACGGATGGAATACTAAACGTTTTTTGACGCAAATTATATGGTGCAACCGGCGCACCATGAGGATGGTGTGCCCGGTTGCAAAAACGACGCACCATCTCCTTTTTTTTGCTTTTGATGTTAAAAATGATAATAAATTTTTTATTTTTGATCCGATTTTTATAAAATTTATATCAACATTTTTTATTTTTCATGATCTTTCAAATGAGACCAATATTGTGTATGTAATTTTAAGAAATTATCGAACTATTATATTAATGAGTATTGGATTATAAGAAAAATCGAATCTGTTTGGGAGATGATAGATTTGTGAAATAGAAGATCGAGTCTGTTTGGGAGTGGATCAGTGGTCTCAGTTACATTTGATAATACATTGAGTTACATCTTTTTATGAGTGAGTTACATCTTTTTATAAGCAAGTTACATCTTTTTATAAGCGAGTTACATCTTTTTACATCTTTTTATAAGCAAGTTACATCTTTTTATAAGCGAGTTACATATATATATATACACACGAGTTGCATTTGACATGTCTGAACGCGACTTACATATATTTACACGTAAAATTACATATTTTTACACGTAAAGTTACATATTTATACACGCGAGTTACATATTTATACACACGAGTTGCATGTGACCTGTCTGAATGCGAGTTACATATTTTTTTACGTAAAGTTACATATTGTTACACGTAGAGATACATATTTATACACACGAGTTGCATTTGACTTGACTGAACGTGAGTTACATATTTTAACACTTAAAGTTACATATTTTACACACAAATGTTAATATGTTAAAATTACATAGGCAATATTGGTCTCATTTGAAAGATAATGAAAAATAAAAAAAGTTGATATAAATTTTATAAAAATCGGATCAAAAATAAAAAAGTTATAACCATTTTTTAAAAACAAAAGAAAAAAAAAAATAAAACCGTCCCGGTATACGGTGGCACCGTATACCTGTTGCAGTGTACACACTCTTTTTTGACCACACAGCAACTTAGTCCGATAGTTGAATCCCGTGACTTAATTTGCTATCGATAACAGGCTAACCTATAATCAGCTATTTTTTTTTTCGTAAATAAATGACAAAGACAGCCTAGTACTCATAGTAGCGGAGTTCACTCATGGGCCGTTCTAGTACTTCCTGGAATGCCCCAACAGTTTACGTAGTACGGACTACGGAGTATTTATTTATACAAGTTCCAACTTCTAGCAACGTTTGAAACTCCCCGACAGTCTGAGACCACTTCCACCTCCCCTGATTTTTTCCCGAATTCAAGATTCCCTTTCACTTGCCGGAGAAGCAGCTATCAATGGCAACCACGCCGTCTTTTGTCGGCGCCCAGTGCTACTTCCACCCCTCCAATAGAGCACCCCCGTTTTGTTTTCAGCCGCCACTATCCGTTAACGTCTGGGCGAAACCCCAGCGGTTAAGAACTCTTAATTCACTTAAATTTAACAGGAGGGGTCCAATTCTGACAAAAAAGTCGAGGTCTTTAGTTTTCCGGTGTGAGGCCACCGCCGGCGGAAAGGTTGTTAGTTAATCAATCATTCAATTCGCGCGCTTAGATTTTCTCATAATTCAAACTTCTCTGTAATTATATGATAAAATTAATAGCAATGGAATCGATTTCTTGCGGCTAAAATTGGCTATTCACAGGCTGTTTCGCAGCAAGACTTCACAGAGATGGCGTGGCAAGCTATAGTGCTGTCCCCGGAAGTGGCTAAAGAGAACAAGCACCAGATAGTGGAGACGGAGCACTTGATGAAGGCGCTATTGGAGCAAAAGAATGGGCTTGCCCGCAGGATTTTTTCCAAGACTGGGGTAGACAATACTCGTTTGCTTGAAGCCACTGTTCGTTTCATTGAGCGCCAACCAAAGGTTCTTTCTTTCTGTCTTTCATTTTATAATCTGAATTATCATTGAGCATATATTGGAAAAGAAAAAGAACTTCTGAATTGAAGAAAGAGCCTGGAAGCCATAATTGGGTATTAAATAAACTTTAAGTTGAATCAACTCATATTCATCATATTTATTTTTGTTTCACTTTTGGTTTCATCACACATTTGTTTGTTAAAATCTCATTTTCTAATGTATATTTGTTTGGCCAAGTAAGTTAGTACGGAGTATTTCACTACTGGTGATACTCAAACAACATATAATCATGATTAGAACATGTTCAAAGTCAATTCTTGGGAAGACCTGGATGACAGGTATTGATAGGATTGACCAAAATATGCTCTGGAACCCACAGATGAAGCATAGAAAGAAGTTTGGTACTGATTTTTATACAAATTGCAGTATAACATCCAATGTGATACTTGGAGTATAGTTTGGTGACATGCATGATCCCTTTATGCCACAGAGTTTTGGTCTTTTAATGAGCAAGCTTAATGTTTTGTTTTCTCCTAAAATGCTAGCAAGCTCACTACCCCCCCTCCCCCCGCACTTCAAAACAATATCAGGTTCTTGGTGACTCAGCAAGCTTAATGTTGGGACGAGATATGGAAGCCTTGATACAGCGGGCCAGAGAATTAAAGAAAGAATATGGTGATTCGTTTGTGTCAGTGGAACACTTGGTGCTTGCTTTTGGACAAGACAGACGTTTCGGGAAGCAACTGTTTAAAGATTTTCAAATTACTGATAAGACTCTAAAAGTTGCCATAGAAGCCATTAGGGGACGGCAAACCGTTACTGATCAAGGTAAAAGCTTTTGTTTTATTTTATGCATAAGAAATGAGAGACTTAATTGGATCTCTATAATTGGCTCATGCTGTGGTCCAAGTGTCCAACGGTTTTTTATAAGGCATGCTGATTTAAGAGAACTGATTAATAACTATTAAGTAATGTCGTTCATTTTTTGTACAGATCCTGAAGGGAAGTATGAAGCTTTGGAAAAATATGGAAAAGATTTAACTGCTATGGCAAGGGCAGGAAAGCTTGATCCTGTTATAGGCCGAGATGATGAGATACGTAGATGCATTCAAATCCTTTCCAGAAGAACTAAGAATAATCCTGTTCTAATTGGAGAGCCAGGTGTTGGAAAAACTGCAATTTCTGAAGGGTAAATCATATAAAGTCTTTATTTTTTGCTTTGGGCTATGTTTGGAACACAGATAATCGCAGGAAAAGGAAAATATGCCAAGGAAAGTAGCTTTAATGTTGGGTTTTCCTTGGAAAGCATGAAGCGGAAATCAATTTTGTTTTGAACTTCTAAAGTTTCTAATGCATCTATATTTCTTAGTCTTTATATAATGGAAATTCTTTAAGAAAGCGTGAGCTTGAATAAGTATCTAAAATAAGCTTATTGAGTTTGGAAATCTGAACCAATTTATGTCCCCTAGGAAAATATAATTTCTTGCAATTTCTCCTGTGATTTCCTCCTCATTTCTAGGTTTCAAGGCCCCTTAGATTTTGATGAACTAATCTCCTTATTGCATGTGATGAAAATAAGCTTATTTCAGAAATGCTTGCGTGTTAGAAGCTCGGTAACTTCAAATTCCCATTTTGCTGCTGTTTCCAATATTAAAAAAATGATAACCTCATTTCCTCATTTAATTAGTGATTCATGAACTTTGAGTTTCCCATTTTTTCTTTTTGATGGGATTTCTTCATGGAAAATGGTGTTCCTTTATAGTGGATTTTTATAGTTTTTTTCTTCACAATATTTTGCTAGAAACTAGAAATGTATTGCATTTTGTGTTTAACTATGCACTGATATGCAACAATTTCTAAACTTAAGCATATAAGCTACACTCTGTATTTATTATTGGCTATTAAGCAAAGTTATATGGATTTTTTTTAACCCACACACATATGTATCTGCACAGCACACATTTGTAAAAAACATGTACACACACGAAAAAATATATTTACATGCATATCTCTTTCTACTGATTGACAGGCTAGCACAGAGAATTGTGCAGGGAGATGTCCCACAAGCTTTGATGAACAGAAGGGTGCGTGGTATTAAAGACATTCTTGCCCCGATCTTGATCTTCCTAGTATGTTAAATCATTTCATTTCATGTTTGCAGTTGATATCCCTTGATATGGGAGCACTTATTGCTGGTGCAAAGTATAGGGGTGAATTTGAAGATAGGCTAAAGGCGGTGCTCAAGGAAGTGACTGACTCTGATGGGCAGATTATCCTTTTCATTGATGAGATTCACACTGTTGTTGGTGCAGGTAAAGCTTATTTTTTGGGTACATAGATAATAGATTAAGGTTAAATATGTCCATTCAGGAATGTTCAACTTTTATTTCTCTTCTATTTATTTCGTAGTCTTCAACCCACACACTAAAAATCTACTCATTTTTTCTTCATCAAACCAAAGAATTGGTTCTACTCGATGGACCTTATTGGCTGGTTGTATCATCCACAATTCTTTTAATATTTCTTGTCAGGTGCCACCAATGGTGCAATGGATGCTGGCAATCTCTTGAAGCCCATGCTTGGCCGTGGAGAGTTGCGTTGTATCGGTGCAACCACATTGGATGAATACAGAAAATATATTGAAAAAGATCCCGCATTGGAGCGGCGTTTCCAGCAAGTCTATGTTGATCAGCCTACTGTTGAAGATACAGTATCTATACTTCGTGGACTAAGAGAAAGATATGAGCTCCATCATGGGGTCCGAATATCTGACAGTGCTTTAGTTGATGCTGCCGTTCTTTCTGACCGTTACATTAGTGGACGCTTTTTACCTGACAAAGGTTTGATTCACTCCAGATTTGTTATTCAAGGGGCGTTTGGACTTGATTATTAAATATTAATTCTGCTCTTTCTAGGTGCACTTCCATTATCACTTTAATGAATGTTTGGCTGATTAATTCCCAGAATACCCAAATATTAATCAACACAAACACATTTATTTTGGTTCACTTTTCAGCACGATACACCTTATGATACCCCTTAGGAGTTTGGCCATTTGGTACAAAAATCATTTTCAACATAAGATTATCCAAACACTCTACGGACTCTATTTGATTTGACAATCAATCCCGAACACTAAAAAAGAAATACTTTCACGCACAACTGATTTTATATTCTAATTCAGATTTAAAGAAAGATCAGAATTGGAAAGAATCAATGCAAACACTCCCTAATTTATTTGTTGAAAAGCTGGTTCTTCTGTAGTGCAGGTAAGGAAGTACTGACATTTCTCCCATTGCAGCTATTGATTTAGTTGATGAAGCTGCAGCAAAACTGAAAATGGAAATTACTTCAAAACCCACAGCACTTGATGAGATCAACCGTGCAGTTCTTAAGATGGAGATGGAAAGGCTATCACTTTATAATGATACAGACACAGCATCAAAAGATCGCTTAAATCGTCTTGAGGCTGAATTGTCTGTACTAAAGCAGAGGCAATCTGAGCTGAATGAGCAGTGGGAACATGAGAAGAATGTCATGACGCGCTTACAGTCCGTCAAGGAAGAGGTATGCAATCTAAATTACCTTGTCATATTTTTTTTATCAATTGGGCCTATGAAAGATTGAACCTTGATTACGTTTATCTCCTAATAACCACCATTTAATTGGTGGTGACTCTATAACCGATTGAACTTCCATCTTGTGCAGATAGACAGAGTGAATCTTGAGATCCAACAGGCAGAGCGGGAGTATGATCTCAACCGCGCTGCTGAACTCAAGTATGGTAGCCTGAACTCATTGCAGCGTCAACTTGACATTGCAGAGAAAGAGTTAGACGAATATATGAAGTCTGGGAAGTCCATGCTTAGAGAAGAAGTTACTGGGAACGACATTGCAGAGATTGTCAGTAAATGGACCGGAATCCCTGTCTCTAAACTACAACAATCAGAAAGGGAAAAGCTTCTACATTTAGAAGAAGAGCTCCATAAACGAGTTGTCGGTCAAGATCCAGCCGTCACATCAGTGGCAGAAGCCATTCAGAGATCTCGGGCTGGTCTTTCGGATCCACACCGTCCAATTGCCAGTTTCATGTTCATGGGCCCCACAGGCGTTGGAAAGACAGAGTTAGCTAAGGCACTCGCTACCTATCTATTCAACACGGAGGAAGCACTAGTCCGTGTTGACATGAGTGAGTACATGGAAAAACACGCGGTGTCAAGGCTGATAGGGGCCCCACCCGGGTATGTAGGTTATGAAGAGGGTGGGCAGTTGACCGAGATTGTTCGCAGGAGACCCTATGCAGTTATCTTGTTTGATGAGATAGAAAAGGCACATGCTGATGTGTTCAATGTGTTTCTTCAAATCTTGGATGATGGTAGGGTTACTGATTCACAGGGGCGTACGGTCAGCTTCACTAACACTGTCATCATAATGACATCAAATGTGGGGTCACAATATATTCTTAATTCACCTGCTGATGGGAGTGATGGGAGTTCGTCTAGTGATTTATCTTATGAAACTATAAAGCAGAGGGTGATGCAGGCTGCTAGGGCAATTTTCCGCCCTGAATTCATGAACCGTGTTGATGAATACATAGTGTTCCAGCCTCTTGACCAAGATCAGATTAATAGTATCGTCAGGTTACAGGTACATTATTTAACATCAAATTTATTTCTAATGGCCTGTTTTCTTAATTGACTTCGACGAATTGTCTAATACTCCCTCCGTTCCCAAAAATACTTCCCACTTTCCTATTTGGGTTGTTCCCAAAAATACTTCCCACTTTCCCATTTTGGACAATTTGTGTGGCTCACATTCATTTTACCTTTTTCTTACACAACCACAACCATACATTTCCACTTTATTCCACTTTCTTAATAAGCGTGCCAAGTCAAACCGGGAAGAATTTTTAGGAACGGAGGGAGTAGTATAAACAATTAGTGCATATTTTTTGGCTGAATTAACTAAATTGAAAAGAAATGACACTTTTATCTTCATCTTACATATTTTTTTCTTTGATTTTTTAATAAAGAATTCTAGAAAATACTTTTAGCTAATGAACCGCTTGTCAAATATCACAAATTCAGCCCACTTTGTACATAAATGTTCCCACCGTAGTCACTCAAGATAGCCTCTGCGTTGTTTAGATGAAGGATTGAAGTGAAATAGCTGTTGAATAGAAAAGCTAATGTTTTTAGCTTTTCATTTAAATTCATTTACTACAGGCTTCTTTTTTGTAGATGCCAAACTTGTCAGTATGTAATTTGCTCTCAAACTGTGCTGCACGTTAAGTTTCTGCACCATTGAAGCAATAAGACAGTTTCAGCTGCTATTCCAACTTTTTTTCCAAACATATTTGAAGTTTTAGACTTTCATTCACCTAGCATGTTAGCTTCAGCAACCCTCAATCCACCGCAAGGCAACCAAATAATAGCTTTACTAATTCAGACCCTTGCCTCTCAACTTGTTTCGCCAGCCATAGTTTCAGCCAAATTTTATCAATTGATTCCTTTCCATATGATTTTTTTTCATTGAAGTCTAAAATTTTCTCTTAATCTACATACCCTTATCCGTAAATCAGCTTTGCTGTTTGGTAACATATTTTCAATCAAATACATAAATTCATTAACCAAATATTTCCCCTTCTAATTCTTGATTGTTTATCTACAGTTGGGACGCGTACAGCAAAGATTAGCGGACAGGAAAATAAAGCTGCAAGCGACCGAAGCTGCAATTCAACTGCTGGGGAGCCTCGGGTATGATCCTAGCTATGGGGCGAGGCCCGTGAAGAGAGTCATCCAGCAGAACATTGAAAACGAGGTAGCAAAGGGTATTTTGAGAGGTGACTTTAGAGATGAGGACACTATTTTGGTTGACACTGAGGTCAGCGCTTTCTCCAATGGACAGCTTCCTCAAACTAAACTTGTTTTCAAAAGAGAGTCTGCTTCCCCTTCGGGTAATTCCCTTGTCAACCAAGAAGCAGCATCTTTCATCTCCCAATAAAAAGGATGAGCCTTTCCAGCGCTTTTGTAATGTAACTTGTTTGAAATGTTTTCATATTTAAGCCATTTTCCAGCATGTAACACTTGTGTAAAGTTAATTATTTTCATATGGGTTGTGAAAACTTATAATGTCTGTTTCTGAGCGGATACATGTTTTAATAGTAATAATAATGTAGAGTTCTTTTCAATATTTAGTCCTATCATATTGTGGTAACGATGTGGTTGTTTAAGCTTTTTTACCGTCTCACTCTTGTGGTTGTTTATATCCGACTATCCGTCTTTAAGCTTTATACTTTGTCTTCTAACTTTCTAAGTATGATGTGGCATTTTAATATTAGTATTTTCCCTAAATAGGACTAAAATAATACGGAGTAGGAAAGTTCCTAAATAGGAGTTCCTAATAATTTATTACTTGAATAGGACCTATTAATTAACTTTTCCAGTTATACCATCCTTTTTTCAAATCATGCGTATCCCAAAACCATTTTTTCTCTCCTCCCTTATTTCTCTCCCCCTCTTCATTTCTCACGCACCCCAATTTTTTTTATCTCTCTCTTTCTCTTCTTCCTTCTCTCCCACCACACCCACCTCACGTCCTCACATCTCCTCTACGCAGATCCCCCACCCTTTCTCTCTTCTACATCCCCACTATCACATACAAAGGTCCTGTCTTATGCTCTGGGAGTAAGGTGCAATTCCGGTGATTTGGCGAGATTCCGACGACGTAGTGTGAAGTTTTTCTCTGGTAAATATCTCTTATCTTCTCTTTCTCTTCTAGCTATCATCCTTCTTCATTTCTTCTTCTTCTTTTTCTTCACTTGATGGATCTCTATATTTTTTTTAATTTTCAAATTCAAAATGGGAAATTTTAGATATAGGTTTGAAAGTTTGGGAGTGGAAAATCCGAGGCTTCGCAAGTTGTTCATATAAAAATCTCAGATCTGACTTTTTGTGTTATTAAAGAACAAACTTCCAACAATTTAAAAAAAAAAATAAAACAATTTTTTTTATTAATTTTACTCTTTATTTTAGAGTTTTCAATGGATCTGAAAAATCTATAGCTAATGTTTATTTTTTCGAAAAACATATTTGAAAACAATGTTGTTTTCATTATATTATTACATGTATAGACATGGACTTTTTTTATTGTTTTCATTATTGATGGATAGTGTACCCGGGGGTAGCTTATCCGAGGGGTTATTACGGGGAATAACAAGAGAGAAGTCAGAGCAAATGAGTATAGAGAGAGAAGTATATTAGAAAGTGTTCAGCGTTTTTTAGTGTGGTTTACAACGGGGAAATGGGGTGCTATTTATAGTAGCAATAAATGCCGGACAGGGACACGTGTCAAGCGCCCATTGGCCGAGAGGTCACCTCAATTGGTTGGCGCTGGCAACCGCATGTGGCCGCATTTAATGCGGCTGTTGGATGAGACGTCGTACTTGGTACGGTGATCCATACACATGTGGAGCGGATATTATGTCGGAAAAGGCGCCCTCGGCTGTAGATGACTAGCCGAGGGCTCTGAGTACAGGGGACCCACTTAGTGCCGAGGGCTCCAGTTGCCGAGGGCTACTGATTTTCGCCGTTCATCCCAGTAACTTTGTTTTCCCGTCTTGGCCCTTCTGTGAGAGTTAGAGCCTTCGGCCAGAGGCCCGAAGGCTCCCCCTGGTGCGCGTTGTGGGCTGCTTGGTACCTTGGGCGCCGTGATTTGGGCCTGTTGTGCTTCCTGGGCCTATTGGGCCTTTATTGGAGTAGTGAAAGTCTGTGGGCCGGGGGTTCCCGGGCCATATACTCCATCAGGAGTCCCTCACTCCTTTTGCCGAAAGGTACTTGATGGAAAAGGAGTAATTGTGTTTGTCCTCTGCCGTTGTTCCGTTGTAGTTTGTAGAGTTGTGGGTAGTTTGCTGTTTGTTTATTCTGCCGAGGGCAGTCCCTCAGTTACCCACATGTCGGGACTTGAGGGGTCATGTTTGTGATTTTTGTGATTTTTCCCGAGGGGGTTCCCCAGTCCCCCACTCCTTGAGGCACTTGCAAAGTGGTGAAAAGGAGTAGGGTAATCATGTTGCTTGTTTTGGGCCGAAGGCTGACACTTCTCGCTTCATTTTGGGGGGATGCCTCGTTAAAAACCTCATTAGGAAAAACTCTGTGGGAAAAAATCCTAATGAGGGAAAAAGAGTGCACCGAATTCCCCCAACGATGAATCGAAAACGTGAAGCCCTGGTTCGAAATGGAGAATAATGCTGATGCCGTAGGCTTTCCTTGTTCTGAGGGCTCATGTTTTGATTAGCCGGAGGCTTTCTGTTGATATCCTGGGAGGTGCCGAAGGGGAGTCCCTCAATCTGGGGATCGAGGGCGTAATGAATGCGAGTAATAGTTGAAGTGTTACCGGGGTGTCCCCTGTTTGTTGATTAGTTGGTGAGGAGGGTATCCGAGGGCTCCCGTTACCTGTGTGCCGTAGGCCGTCCGTCAATGAGGCGTACTCCCCGGGGGCTACCCGTCCCTCAAAGTGCTGAGGGGGGATCCCCGAGGGGTGGGCCTGTTATGAAGCCGTGGGCTTCTGAAGGAGTGAGTCCGAAGGCATTTGTTATGTAGTGTGTGGGGCACAAACCGGGAGCGTCTCTGGGTAAGTGTACTCGGGGGCTCTTCTTGATGAAGCGGAGTGAAGTTAAAAGCCCGGGGGCTAGTTCCTTGGTCGATGAAGGAGTGGGCTGCTAAATATAGCCGGAGGCTCCCAGAATATAGTCGTTGGAAATATAGCCGTTGGAATATGTAACGTCAAAATATAACCGTTGGGGGGGGGGGGGGGGGGGCTTCCACGTGGTGCGTGCTTGTTGGCTGCCTGTGGGCGGGCGTCACTGATTGGTCAGTTCGACGGTTCGTAATGATGACAGTTGAACCGGAGGCCCGGTTTCCAGGCCCAAGCCCGGATCCAGGCGCCTATAAATACCCCATGGCCGGGCACCACTTCTCCTGTGCGATCATTTGCTAGCGAAGCTCTGCCGGATTTTTTCTAGAGAGAGAAACACTGCCCTCGATCTAACTCCTGTTTTAAGGTCAGTTCCCCACTTGTCCTTCTCCCTCCTTAGCTAGCTGTAGCGGCCTTAGATTTAGGAGTTGTAACTTAGAACACTTAGTGTTTCCGAGCCCTCGACCCAGCGGAAAGATGTCTTCCCAAAGTGACTCTCAAGACATATCGAGGGATCCCTCGATGGAAAAGGAGAGCTTCTCGGATGCGGGGTCCTCGAGCGAGCAGCCCTCGGCCCAGGAGGATGTCGCGATGGCGATGGAGGTGCAGAAGGAGTTGGTGGCTGAAGTTGAAGTCGAGGGCTTCGAGCAAGAGGCAGAGGATGAAGAGCTTGCCCTCGCCGTACAAGTTGCAGAGGAGGAGGAAGAGAAGGAGAGGATGAGGGTGACAGTGGCTGTCCTTCCCCCTCGGGGTGCTGGTGAGGCAGGGAGCTCTCGGCCCCTCAACCCGACGCCGATAAGAGTGGCCCCCGGGAACAAACAGGAGAGGAAGAAAACTGCTCCCAAGAAGAAGTGCGTTGTTGCTGATCAAGGGAAGCCCATAGATGTGCCCGAGGGGGTACTCCTGGCTGAATACTGCTGCCCTCGAGATAGGGTCGAAGGCTGACAGGGAAGATATGTACGTGACTCAGCTGCACGTGGGGCCTTCGACCGTGGTGGTGGCGCCAGGCCCTGATGATGTGCTTTCCCGGGCTCCCGAGGGTTGCATCGCCGTGCACATCCTGTCGGTATCCATGGGGCTCCGGTTCCCCCTGCACCCATTCCTTCGGGAATACCTCCGGTATGTAGGTTTGGTTCCCTGCTAGTTGACGCCTAACAGCCAGTCCTACGTGGCGGGCTTCCTGAATCTCTGCCGGGCCCGAGGGGTGACCCCCAGCCTGAACTTGTTTTTTCAGAGCTTCAACTTCTGCCGAGGGGGTCACGCGAACGCCGAGGGCTTCGCCAATCTGCAACAGGTAGCCCGGTGGAAATTATTCACAGAAGCGCCCTCGTCCAACAAAGACTGGAAGGAGCGGTGGTGCTATGTTAGAATTGCCGAGAGCCCCTTTCCGATGGAACTTCGGGATCGCTTCCATCGGCATCCGAAGGTTGGAAGTGGTGCTTTGGAGAAGGATGGCTTGATAATAGCCAAGATCCCGGAGGGTCGTACGAAGCAAGTGTCCATTAAGGACTCTACTGCTGACAAGGAGCTTTTCTCCCTCGGCTTCCGCAGATATCGCTTCCTCAGCGAGACAGACGAGAAATATCCTGTGTTGGCAGGAGGTAGTATCCGAGGGCTTCCTGTTTTGTACTTAGGATTTTTTCTTTGTCTTTTTTTTTGGTCTAACCCCCCCCCCCCCTTTTTGTTGGCAGGTGTGAATATGGACGCTGGTAAGCTCTTCGCTCTGAAGAAAAAGAAGGGCAAGGCCCAAGCCCAGAAGAAGGACCCCTCGGTCCAACCGCCTGTGGAAGCCTTCTTTCAAAAGGGGCTCCGCAGCCCTCTGCTGCGGAGGGAGTTGCCGGGGTGGCCGAGGGGGCCACCAAAAAGAAAAAGGGGAGCAAGGCGGTTGAGCCCCCGACTAAGAAGCAGAGGGGTACAGGGGGCACTGTCGGCCAGGATGCCCCCTTGGTGATCATTGAGGATCGCCCTTCTCCCGATCCCCCTGTCGGTGCTGCGGCGACAGCCCAAGCCGATCTTCCCTTGCGAAGCCCCCCCGGGAGATCCCGCAACTTTCCTTGGCCCCGGGGGCATCTATCCTACATGGCTCAGCGGAGCCGAAGGCCTTCTTGAAGGGGATCACCTCGGCAATGGACAAGGCTGCCCTCTCAACCTACGATGATGAGGCCCTCGAGAACAAGATCCTTCGATCTTCGTTAACTGTAAGTTTCTTTCTTAGCTCTTGTGTTCAACCTTTAATGCTCTTCCCATACTAATTTGACCCCTCCTCCTATTGTTTATCAGGCTTGTGTAGCCCTCGGGGAGCACGCACAGAGGCTCGAGCAATGGCGCCTCCGGAAAGCGGAGCAGGATCGGGAGATGAAGGAGCTCATCCTGAAGAACTCTGATGCTGTAAAGCAGATGGCCTTGCTGGAGGAAGACCTCCGGAAAGCTGCCGAGGGCGCTGAGCTGAAGGCCAAGGCTGCCGTGGAGGAGGCCAGGCTTGAGGCCGAGAGGGCAGCTAAGAAAGCCGCCGAGGAGGCAGAGCTCGCCAAGGCCGAGGCCGTCGCCAAAGCCCGAGAGGAAGCTGTTGTCGCATTCATGGCCGAGGGCTGGAAAGCCGAAGATAGGCAGCAATGGGTGGCCTCGGTCGTGGAGTCATCGGTAGATGACTGGGTGAAGGGCCCCGGGGGAGACTGGATGGCGGAGAGGGGAGACAGTTATTACCAAGGGGGTGAATTCTTCACCCAGCACCTAGTATACCGGAGGCTCGCCAGGCACTTCCAAGTCTCCCTCGAGGAATTTGACCCCTCGGCGTACGGCTTTCCTCCTTTGCAGCCAGATGTGAGAAACCCCCTCCCCCCCGGGCGAAGAGAGGCCTGTGATCCATGACTCCATGATGATGGGGGGATCCGGTGATGGTGATGCCGAGGCTGCCATCGGGGAGGAGGTCACCTCGAAGCCCGCCGAGGAGGCAACAGCTGAAGGAAACACTTGCACTTAGTAGCTTTTTGAACACCTTTTCTTTTTGTTTGTAATGAATATTTGTGTACTCTCGGTCTCGACCATATTGTAATATATACTTTAACTCTTCCATTCTTCTTATGAATGAATACCGTCCTTCGGGCTTTTGTGTATAATTCGTTTCCTCCGATTGTTTTTCTTTGAATGTATGCCCTCGTTCTTTTTTTTGAATGTATGCCTTCGCTTTTCTGAATGTATGTTTAGGACTTAGAATATATTCTTCCAAGTGTAGTGCTTCTCGTAGCCCTCGGCTACTAGGCCTATTTAGTCAGTTGAACCTTTCACCGAGGGCACAATGTTCAGGACTTAGAAATATTTCTAAGTGTTTGTTCATCTGTTGGCCCCCGGCTAATTCCTTCCCTCTGGTTCTGTGTAGCCTTCATGAGATAACCGGAGGCGAGGTGTTTAGGACTTAGAAGAATTTTTCTAAGTGTTTGAATATAGTATAGCCTTCGGTGATTGGGTACCCTTTACTGACTGGATGTATGACCGAAGGTCCAGAAATAGTTAGGACTTAGAAAATTTTTCTAAGTACACTTTTACCAAGTCTCTAACCGTATGGCCCCTCGGGCTGCATGGAGATTTGACCGAGGGTCAAAATATGTAGGACTTAGGAAATTTTTGTAAGTGTGTTTTCATCAAGCCTTTGACTGTGCGGCCCCTCTGGCTGCATGGAGATTTGACCGAGGGTAAAAACTTTTGGGACTTAGAAATTTTTCTAAGTGTAGCATGTATGAAGTAGGAGCCCTCGGGTGAATGTGAGGGCCTTGTCTCAGATATGCCTTCGGTTAACTGATGGCTCCACAAGGTGCAAAGCATTTAGGACTTAGATTATTTTCTCTAAGTATTTCCTGCTTCTGGCCTTCGGGAGGGGACCCTTCGGCTGTATATGTTGTAGGTTTAGGATAGTTTCCTTTGCCTTGTAATGTTGACTTGTGGGAACAAAAAGCCTTCGGTTGTTTGTTATGTCCCCCCAATGTTGATATAGGAGGGTTTGTAATCCAAGTTTAGCATGAAAAGACAGACTCCCTCGGGAACTGTAGTGATGTATCCCCTCGGCATGTAGTGAGGTGCCGGAGGTGATTCTTGATTTGGTTTGGCCACCATCTGATAGTTTGGTCATGTAGTAGCCTTCGGGGACGTTTTGAGTTGTTGTTGGCTGAGCCCGCCATATTTGTAGTATTTGAACCTTCGGTTTTAGGTATAGCCGAAGGCAATTATTGAGTGGGCTCAGTCACTTGTTGATGATGTATGTTGTGAAGGGTATCCTTTGTACTTGTGAGCTTCCAGGTACCGAAGGTGTTCCCGTGGGGAGCCCTCGATATGTTTTTGTGAATTGTTGGTGTGATGTACTCATTGATTTCTCACCGAGTCTACTCCCCTTCACCCCCCCTTTTTTTTGAGTAGTGAAGGGAAGGCTTCAAGAAACTTGGTTTCTTGGTAAGGCTTGGCCTATCGGGAGGTAACAGAATACACCATTAGCTCTTCCCTCGGGTTAACCTTCCGAGTTCCGAGGGGATCGAGGGTCGTTTCCTGTGTACAAGATATGGTGGTCTGTAGCCTGCCTCCCCTTGGGGGACGGCGCAGAAAGCGCCTCAGTTTTGAAAGTCGTCCCCTCGGCGCTAGACATAGTCCGTGGCCTGCCACACCCTTGGGGTGGTGGCGCGGGGAGCGTTTCAGTTTGGAAGTCGAATCCTGGGCATTTCTCGTGCCTGTCATACCCTTGGGGTGATGACGCGGAAAGCGTTCCGTTTTTGAAAGTCGAATCCTGGGCATTTCTCGTGCCTGTCATACCCTTGGGGTGATGACGCGGAAAGCGTTTCAGGGAAGGGTTTTCATTTGCACACTGGTTGCAAATGGCCGGGGGCACTACGTGCTGCCGGCACCGAGAGGTGGCGCCTTCGGTATAGGCGTCCTCGAGGGGTACGGCTTAGAAACAACACTTGGTTCCTGTTCCGATGTACGGCCCCCGGTACTTGGTACCGAGGGGTCTTCTGTGAAAACACTTGGTGTTTTTTCTTCATTTGTCGTAGGTGATTGTGGTGTCTACCCTCGGTACTTGGTACCGAGGGGTCTTCCGTGGAAACACTTGGTGTTTCTTCCCATTTGTTGAAGGTGTTGTGTTGTCTACCCTCGGTACTTGGTAACGAGGGGTCTTCCGTGAAAACACTTGGTGTTTCTTCCCATTCGTTGAAAGCTGTTAGTGTTGTCTACCCTCGGTCCTTGGTACCGAGGGGTCTTCAGTTGAGGACAGTTGGTACTTTCTTTTAGTCGTAGGTGATAGTATTGTCTACCCTCGGCACTTGGTGGCGAGGGTTCTTCCTTGGGGTAAGGCCTTGGGCCAGTGGTTGTACATATGAGGGCTTGGCCCTTCGTAAGAATCCTATTCCATGTTCTTGGTGTCTTCAAAATGTCTTCGTTCTTCAGAATTTTTAGGCCTTGGGCCGTAAAATAATACATTCACTAGTTTATGAGGGCTTGGCTGCTCTGGTGTTTATTGATAAAATTTAACTAAGTGATGTACATTCCAGTGCCTAGGGACTTCAGTCCCATTAGGGCGTTTTAGTCTGTAAGTTCCTGGCTTGATGATGGCTGCCACGATGTAGGGGCCTTCAAACTTTGGTGCCTTCAAACTTTGGTGCCATCTTTCCGCCCTCGGTTGGTTGGCTAGCTTCCCTTCTTCGGAGGACATAGTCCCCCACTTGGAATTCTCGGGAGCGGACCTTGGCATCAATGTAACTTTTCACTTGCCTTCGGTAGTTTTCTGCGCGCATGAAGGCTTGCTCTCGGCGTTCTGAAATAAGGTGGAGGTCGAGGGCCATATTGGAGTCATTGGCCTCTGGATCATATCTCGCCAGTTGCCCGCCGAGGGGTGGTACGGTAGGCCCATAAGATGTTGTGGAGCTCTTCTACCCAGCCACCCCCTTCGGCCTCCAGTTTCTTCTTCAGGCCCTCGAGCAAGGTCCTGTTGGCATTCTCCACTTGACCGTTGCCCTGAGGGTAGGCCAAGAATGAGAAGGTGTGCTTGATGCCCCATGCCTCTAGGAGGGCACAGAAGGGGGCTGCCTCGAACTGAGTCCCGTTGTCGGAGATGATTTGCTGGGGGACGCCAAATCTTGTGAGGATGTTTTTAAGAATAAAGTGACGGCACCTGGCCTCGGTAATGCTGGCGAGGGGCTATGCTTCCACCCATTTGGTGAAGTAATCGATGGCGACGATGATGTACCTGTTGTTGGAGGTACCCCTCGGCAGAGGGCCCACAAGGTCTATGCCCCATCGAGCGAAAGGTATGGATGTGCTGATGGGGGCATAGTTGACCGCTGGCCTGCCGGGGGCTTTCTGGAAGTGTTGGCATGCGGGACACCTCCGGGCAAGATCTGCACAATCCCGGGCCATCGTAGGCTAGAAGTAGCCTTCGGGACATGGAGAAGGGTCCCTGGTGAGCTGAGCAAGTGCCGCTGTGCACTTCCTCCATCGCTACTTCGGCTTCATCTTGGTGAAGGCACTGAAGTAACGTCCCGTTGTAGGAAGTTTTGTAAAGCCTTCCGTCCTCGATAGTGTAGCTGGGAGCCCTCAGCTTTGCCAGCTTGGCGCGGGCCTCATCCTCGGGCAGTTGCCCTGTGGTGATGAAGGTGACAATGTCTGAGATCCAGTCACCTCGCCTTTGTTGTATGTGCATGATGGGGCTAGCGTGTATGCTAGAGAGGCTGAGTTCTTCCACTTTGGCGATCTTTGAGATGTGCTCTGGGGATTTGGCCGAGAGCTTGGATAAAATGTCGGCCTCGAAGTTTTGAGCCCTCGGTATTTGAGTAAGAGAGTGTGCCTCAAACACCTTAAGCAACTCCTTGGCCGCCTCCTTGTATTGCTTCATTCTCCCTTCCTTTGCTTCGTACTCCTCGGATATTTGGCCCACGACTAACTTGGAGTCGCACTTGACGTGAATTTGTCGGGCCTTCATGTTAGCTGCCAGTCGAAGGCCACAGAGGATGGCCTCGTATTCGCCTTCATTGTTAGAGACTTTGAAGGAGAAACGGACTGCGTAATAGGTCCGGAAACCCTCGGGTGAGATGAGAACCACCCCTCCTCCACATGCTTTGACGGCGGAGGAGCCGTCGGTGTAGAGGGTACACCAATCATCTGAAGGGGTCGAGGGCTCCTCATCCGTGGCTGCCCTCGCCGTACACTCTGTCACGAAGTCCGCTAGGGCTTGGCCCTTGATGGCGGGCCTAGGACGGATGTCGATGTTGTATTGGCTCAAGAAGTCGGCCCATTTTACCATTCGGGAGGAGCTAGTGGGGCTCCTCATCAAGGCGCCGAGGGGTTGGTGAGTGAGGACCCTGAGGGCCTTGCTAACATAGAAGATGACATGTTGGATGCCATCCTCTTCACGGATGAGTACTGAGCTGATGGTTGCCGGGCTAACACCCAAGTAAAGGTACAGGATCTCCCCTACCTTGGGTTTAGAAAGCACAGGAGGTGAAGATAAGTACCGTTTCAGTTCCTCGAAGGCCTCCTGAAATTCTGAAGTCCATTGGAAACCGGCGGTTTTCCTCATGATCTGGAAGAAGGGTAAGGACTTCTCTGCCGATTTTGATAAGAAGCGATTGAGGGCTGCCAGGCGGCCCGTCAATCGTTGGACCTCCTTTACGTTGCGTGGGGGCTCCATGTTGATGATGGCCTGGATCTTCTCGGGGTTGGCCTCGATACCTCTTCGGCTCACCATGTAGCCCAAGAATTTTCCCCCTTGGACGCCGAAGGTACACTTCTTCAGGTTCAGCCGAAGGCTAAACTTCTGCATGATGGCGAAGATCTCTCTCAGGTCGTCAGCATGGTTTGCTGACTGCTTGCTCTTGACGATCATGTCGTCAACATACGCCTCCATGGTGCGCCCTAGGACATCTTGGAATACCCTGGCCACCATCCGAGTGTAGGTGGCGCCTGAGCTCTTTAGGCTGAAGGCCATGAGAAGGTAGCAGAAGATGCCCTCGGGAGTCATGAAGGCTGTTTTTTCAGCGTCCTCCTCATGCATGTATATTTGATGATATCCGCGGAATGCGTCGAGGAATGACATGATTTCACACCCCGCGGTTTCATCCACAAGTTGGTCAATATTTGGCAAAGAAAAGGGGTCCATGGGACACACCTTGTTGAGATCCGTGTAGTCCACGCACATGCGGAATGAGGGCGGTTTCTGTGCGAGGACTACGTTTGCCAGCTATGAGGGGTACTTCACCTCCTTGATGTGCTTGATAGAGAGGAGCATGGCGACCTCCTTCATCACAAATTCCCTCCTCTCGGCCGAGAGGGGTCTCCTCCGCTGCTGTACTGGTTTGGCCGAAGGGTCCACCGAGAGGCGGTGGGTGATGACCCTTCGGCTGATCCCCGGCATGTCCTCCGGCCCCCATGCAAAAACAATGGAGTAGGCGCGGAGGGCGCTGATGATGCCGGTCTTCAAGTCTTCGGGGAGCTTGGCTCCAATCTTCACCACTCTCTCCGGCTTGGCCGGATCGAGCGCGAAGTCTTCTACCTCCTCGGCTGGTTCAGCCCTCAGCCTCCTTTCTTCCACTTCCATAGTTCCGGTGATGGTGTCAACGCGGAACTCCGTCTTGCTAGCCTTTTTTGTTACTTGGAGGTAGCATGCGCGAGCAAGTTTTTGGTTTCCCCTTGAGTAACCTATTCCCCCCTCGGCTGGGAACTTGAGGCAGAGGTGCCTCATGGAGATGACGGCCTCGAGATCCTCGAGGGCTGGCCAGCCGAGGATGATGTTGTGGGCGCAGTCGATGTTGACGACGACGAACTCCACTTCGAGCTTGGCTCTATGGAGGCCGTCGTCGAAGATTATCGGGAGGGTTATGACCCCCTCGGAATCAATGGTGTCGCCGGTGAAGCCGGCAAGAGGGGTCTTGATGGGCCGAAGGGACTCCCTCTCCAGATGCAGCTTTCTGAAGGTGCTGAGGTACATCACATTGACGGAGCTACCCGTGTCAATGTAAGTTCTGTGAATAATAGTGTCGTTTATTTCCGTCCGGATGACGAGGGCATCCCTGTGTGGGGAGGATACTGGGGGGAGATCAGCGTTGGTGAAGATAATGGGTTCCTCCCTCAGCCGCTTTACCGGGGGTATATGAGTGACTTCCCCCACGTAAAGTGATTGAGCCCACTTCTTTCGTTGACTAGTAGAATCACCTCCGGTATTGCCCCCTGTGATCATGAGGATGTGGCGCTTCTTCTCTTGGTACCGCGGGTACTCCTCCTCCTCTTCTTCCAAGTTCCCAATCTCCCTCTTTTTGCCCGCTTGTATCAATCTCTCGATGGCCGTTTCTAGCTGATGGCAATCATCGGTCCTGTGCCCCTGGTGTCGGTGGAAACGACAGTAGGGGTAGTTTGGATTGATGGCAAACACTTCCGAGGGCGCGCGTGAATCTCGCTCCACGAGGCCCCTTTCCTCAGCAAAATCAAGAATAACGCTGACGGGGTGCGTTAATGGTGTCCGAGGGTGTTCCAGGAGGATAGGATGTGCGCAAGCCCTCGGGTTCCCCTTGTAGCCTCCCCCGGGCTTGGCTTGGCCATGGCGGGGGCGATCACCGGAGGGGGTAGAATCCTTGGGATGATTGCGGGGAGCCCCCGGCCCCCGGTTACCTTTGTCGTCTGGCCGAGGGCGTTACTGATCTGGGACGTGGTGGCATTTCTCCACCTCCTCGGCTTCGGCGTACCCGTCCCCCCGCTGTAGGGCCCTTATATAATCGCGGGGGGGGGGGGGGGGGGGGGGTCGACAATGAGGCTCCTCGAGAAATTCCCGGGGCGGAGTACTGTTTGGAGGAGGGCCAGGAGGGTCCCGTCGTCGGCACCATCAACTTTATCAGCCTCCGTTCTCCAGCGCTCCAGGAAGTCCCGAAGCAAGTAGGAGAAGTGTTTCCTTGTGCGGCGCCTTCCCGCAAATTGCGTCAAGAATCGCTGGGCGAGTTCTTGCCATGAGTCAATGCAGCCCTCGGGCAATCGATTGAACCATTCGTAAGCTGGCCCCTCTAAGGTGGAGAGGAACCAGCGGCACAAATATTCATCTGATGCCCCCACCATCATCATGCTATTTTGATACCTGCTGTAGTGCTCTTGGGGGTCAGTCTTTCCGTCATAGGGCTTGATGAGCTGCCCTCGGTATTTTTCCGGGATCCGGGCCGCCAATACCCTTGGGGTAAATGGCGTCCGGGTCCGGAGCTGTATGGTGGGTTCCCCGGAGCCCTCGACTATCTTCTTCTGCATTTCTTCCATCTTGGCCAACATCGCCTCATACTTGAGGTCTGTATGAGGGGCAGAAGTGGCGGTGTGGGCTCTGGTGGCCTCTATCTCGTCAAGCTGGCGCTGGAGGGCCGCAATGATTTCGTCCCGGGGGTCCTTCGGGAGGGCCTCTGCCCCCTGCGAATGGACGCGGGCCGAGTGGGCCTGGTTGATTTGGTGGCGGGCGTCGTTGGCGTGGAGAGGTGCCTTGCCTTTTTCCTGAGGGGGACGCCTTTCATTGGCCCTGGAGACGGATCCTCCGCTTTCCTGAGACCTCTGGAACGCCTCCCCCCCGAGGCGGTCTTGGACCCCTCGGCGGTCTTGCGCCCCTCCGAGTCTCTCGAGGGCGGAGGTCCGGAGTTGTTCTTTGTTCGCGTTGTGGCGGTCCCGGGATTGGACTTCCTGGGAGGTCGTATCTTGGGCCACGACCCCCTCGGAGTTCCTCACCCGGAGGACCGGGTTACCGAGGGGTCGTGGATGAGGGGGAGGCATAATATTCTCCCCTACCTGAGGTTGGAGGGGAACCAAAGTGCCGAAGGCACCCGGGTTTTGGGTGAGCGTCTGGATGAAGGTGGAGAGCGTCGATTGCACGTCGATTGTGATGACCGGAGGGCTAATTTGATTCTCGCTCCAGTCCTTTTTCTTGGCCTCGATGCCGAGGCGGGCATCAGGGGCATTTTGTTGAATCTGCTGGCGTAGGTCGACAACCGTCTGGTCCAACCCGGCGATGACGCCGCCCCCGGGAGCCCTGTTAGAGGCTTCGGGGACGTCGACCTCGCCGAGGGCCAGGTTCCTGTCCTCTACATTCTTGGAGTTGGCACGAGTTGTTCTCACCATTTCAGCTAGGTGTTTTGTGTTTGGTCGAGGGGGAGGGTTTCTTACTTGATTGTTCGACCTCTCAACGAGAGCACCAAATGATGGATAGTGTACCCGGGGGGTAGCTTATCCGAGGGGTTATTACGGGGAATAACAAGAGAGAAGTCAGAGCAAATGAGTATAGAGAGAGAAGTATATTAGAAAGTGTTCAGCGTTTTTTAGCGTGGTTTACAACGGGGAAATGTGGTGCTATTTATAGTAGCAATAAATGCCGGACAGGGACACGTGTCAAGCGCCCATTGGCCGAGAGGTCACCTCAATTGGTTGGCGCTGGCAACCGCATGTCGCCGCATTTAATGCGGCTGTTGGATGGGACGTCGTACTTGGTACGGTGATCCATACGCATGTGGAGCGGATATTATGTCGGAAAAGGCGCCTTCGGCTGTAGATGACTAGCCGAGGGCTCCAGTTGCCGAGGGCTACTGATTTTCGCCGTTCATCCCAGTAACTTTGTTTTCCCGTCTTGGCCCTTCTGTGAGAGTTAGAGCCTTCGGCCAGGGGCCCGAAGGCTCCCCCTGGTGCGCGTTGTGGGCTGCTTGGTACCTTGGGCGCCGTGATTTGGGCCTGTTGTGCTTCCCGGGCCTATTGGGCCTTTATTGGAGTAGTGGAAGTCTGTGGGCCGGGGGTTCCCGGGCCATATACTCCATCAATTATATTGCATTTATTGAGATGAAAAAATTATTTTAAAAATGACATGTTTTTTAATATGTTTGGCAAATAATGCCCTTACATTTACGAAGTTGGCATTAATTTCAATGTTACTTGAATATGTTATGCAAATAATGCCATATTTTATAATCATTAATGCCATGTATTTTTTACAAAATGGCATTATGATTTTAACATGACATTAAATGATTTTTCACTAGATCTGAGACGGATCTGAGCTCTACCATGATCAGATCAATGAAGTTCGGCAGTGGCGATGCTAGAGGTTACAGATGAGACGACGACGATATCGGTATGGCGGTGACGGCACCGATGTCTGTGGTAGTTGCGGCGGCTTTGACGCCGCTGGTGGCGGCTTCGACGCCGGTGGTGGTGGCGGTGGCGGCTTCGATGCCGCCGGCGGCGGCGACGCCGGTAGTGACAGTAGAGGTTGCACTACCACTTTGTTTTGTGCATGAGGACTGCTGGGCTTCCCATTTTGTTTTATTATTTCATTTTGTATTATTAATTAATTAATAAACTGATTTACTCATTAAGGGTAATGTTGTCATGTCACCTCACTTTGGTCCTACGGAGCACTACAAACTCTTGGAGTCTTATTATTGCATTTTGTACAAGTTTTAGTCCTAGTTAGGGAATTATCTCTTTTAATATTTGAGAACCCTCACGAGTCACAGTCACAAGGCCAAAGGTGGTATTATCACATTAGTAAATGGAGTATTGACGTAGAAATGGTAGAATTCAAAAATGGAGACTAAACGTGTAAATAAGACGTAGTATAAAACTAAATGTGAAACAACTAGAAACAAGTGTATAAACTGTTATATATTAACAGAACTTCAGGTTTATATGCAAACAAAATATGTCATGAACCATGTTCAGTGTAAAGTAACAAGGACGCCTTTGGTGTGACTGAAAGAATGAACATATGATTGACTACATTGTTTATGCATAGTGAGAATCACTAAAATGTAAAACACTGTCATTGTTTCTGACCAGAGACAGTTTTCTTAACAGCTCCAACAGAGACTAGGAAGTTATCAAGGGATGACAAAGTCCTCATATCATCTGCAGAAAAATAGCTTGCTGCTCTCCCTAACAATGATGTGAAGAAAACGGGAATAGATGGAGGCCTCGTAACACCAAGCAGCTCGTCTATAAACGCAAAAGCTGCTATCAAATCAGACCCGCTTGCATTTACTGGTGCGGAAAAATGAGCTGGGATTATTCTCTTGAACTTCCAGTCCCGCACAATGCCATCGACCCAATCTTTAACCTAGTTAGGCCACATAAGCAACACTGTAAATGAATAATCTGCACATATGCAGAAACATTTGGAGAGTATTTGCACCTAAACCAATTTTTAAAAGCCTATCTCCACCCGACATTCCCGACCTAGTGCCAACATTAAAAGCATATTTGCACTTTTTAAATCTGAAAAAGGATGGGTGAAATATACCAGGAATTCTATTCACAGCCACAAAATCACTATATACAACCACTTGAATAATTTTTAAATTACTCTTCCACTACTAATATTACACGGTTTATCAGTCTAGACTTCCATAAACTCAACAACCGCCGGCCAACTAGGTTATTCCACAAACATACTTGATTTTGATGGCTGTTGTTGCTTGCATATATGGAGGAGAGTCCATTGTATGTATTATTTAATTCTTTGTTCAAACTATATGTCTGTACTCGGATTTGGAGTTGTGAGCTATAATGAATGTGCGCACGCGCCCTTGTATATGTGTAACAGACTTAAATTAACCATTTATGACAGCTAGGAAAATTGCATTGAGTTTCAATTCTAACCATATTCTAGGACAATATAGATAGGGCTGTATTTAGATGAAAGGGAAATTTACATTTTGCCAAAAAAAAGTTACTAAAATTGATTTAGTGGTTCATAACTTCATATGTCGGTGCATGCACCAAGCCTAGAGACTAACTGGGCAAGTATGGACCGCAATAAAATGGGTCGAGTGTCAAGTGTTCGGGTTTTAGTTTTAGTCAATTCATAATTTAGACTTTAATTTTAGCACTTGTACCTTTTTTGCATATTATGTAATTATTTAATAATTATTTCAAAATATGGTCAATAAACACAATCAATATTAAAGGGTGTCAAATTATTTGATTCACTAAAAAAAATTAGTTGTTTTTTGAAGATGATCATGGTTATTTTTGACGAAAAGGAATCATCCTTCCTATTCTTGCGCATGGCTCATGTTTACTCTTATTTTACATAATTTTTCATATTTTTAGTTTTTACTTATTTTATACAATTATGTATTTTAATATGTAAATATCGTAGCTTGTATTTAACATTTTTTCCACAAATAAGTCTGTTTTTAATATTCATCTCATTTTGAATCATTATACACCATGCTGTATCACCATTTACCAAACATGCAGCAACATATGTAGACATATATATAGCTCTAAAAGATGGAAATGATAGAGGGAGTGTTTGCAAAAGATTAAAAGAAATGTTTTCAAGCTTTCTGCTTTAAAAAGTTGAATTGGTGTTGCTTCTGCTTAAATGAAGCACTTTAAAGCTAAAGGGTAAAAGCAGGTCAAGTGGTGCTTTAAATTACGTTTCATTTCTATTACACCAAAGTATTTTTTTTATCAAACACTACCATCTTTTACTTTTTCATTCAGTACCAACTTTTACTATCAAACATTTTCTCTAGAATCACTTTAAAAATCACTTTTTTCAAAGTAGAAGCAACTGCAAACACTCTCTTAGAGTGCTTAAGAAAGAGGTATTTGTGCTGAGGATACAAATTGATGTACCTTTTCCGGAACTTTGCTGAATACCAATGTCTTAATGATGGGTGAAACAATAAGTTTCTGTGACACCTGACCAAAACTTGCATTAGGCTCTAGAAGATTCGACGGTCCTAGAAACAGAATCTGAAGAACCATCCTTTCCCATCCTGCAACAACAAAATATAATGCCAAAAGTTTGATCTTATTATCAATCCTTTTCTCTTCTATTGTGTTTGTCTCAAGAAATCTAACATTACATATGCCGTTAAACTTGCTACTTGTAAGAAGTGGCATAACCATGACCCCATTTTTTTAATTTGGTGCGTGCCAGTAAAATAACCACTCATATCAATTTTCTACTAAATATTTTACACATCTAAAAAAGATTTTACCCAACTTGGCCAGGTTGGGACCCAGTTTGCCCCCCCCCCCCCCCCCCCCACTACACCCCTGCTTGTTAGAGACATAATGTAAATAGTTCAAAATAATGCCAAAAGTCATTTTATACTCCCTCCGTCTCCTCCTAATCTTTGTCCCATTTTACTTTTTCATCCGTCCCACTAAGTTTGTTCCAAACCATATTTGATAATATTTCATTGGTTGCAATTCATTATTACAGTATTCACATTTTACCAATTCAATAACAACCACACAGAACCACTTTCATTAATAATCACACTACTCCCTCATTTGAGTCATTTCCCAATCTTAGGGGGCGGAGGAAGTTATACCTAAAACCCAAGGGAACCCGAGTGTCCCCAACACACCTAACTTCGTTACATGGATGTAATCTCACATTACTTGGTAATAATAAAATATGAACCAAACATGGTGATTTCACAGTACCTAGGTAATATGAGACCACCTCAACTAAATGCCTCCATAAAATTAAGCACAATGAGCTGCTTGGTAAAAAGACTTACCTTTCTGGCGATTCATCTTGTTGTCAACAACGGGCTCTTCTGGCACTTGTTTCCCTTTACTAAGGATTTTGACAGCCAAACCATTCTTTGCAGATGCAAGCAGAGACTCCTTGCTTATACATTCAGGAGGAGTCCTAGGAACAAATATTACAGCATCTGTCACTAATAATGTTCTTGAACGCTTATGATAGAACGCCACCTCGACATATGGTCCAATACCTGAAGTAAGAAAGGCAGGTTAGATCATCAAATGCAAATCACTACTAATCAAGGGCGCACCTAAGAATAATTTATCGTGAGTGGGTAAAAGTCTTGACTGAGTTTGAGCTTGAGCCAATCAAACCTAAACAAATACGCAAGAAACTCGTTCGGAAAGAATTATTTGGCAGAAAGCCAGAAACATGGGAAATGTCTGAGTGTTTGGATCTGCTTATTTTTTACAGGAGGTCAAAAGCTACTTAGAGCCTGTTTGGTAAGTGTGACGTTGAATGAAATTTCAGAAGTTGCTAAAATGGCTGAAATTGTGAAGTTAAACACTGAACCATTTCAAAATGCAGATTCGAATAAATTAATAAATAAAAAACTGGATGATAAGGTTGATAAACCGAAAAAAGTAGCTACCAAATGGATACCCATTTTTCTTATTCTGCCAGAATGGCTACCAAACGGTCTCTAAGTATGCAAATTACTTATATATCATTGAAAATAATAATAAAAAATTGGATGAACGTTATCTTCTACTAAAAAAACTTGCACTCGTAAAAACTTCTTCAAGCAAAATCCATCTTTGATGCACATTACTTGGATCTAGTTAGAAGAATCCAGTAATTACCAACTTCTGGAGAACTAAGAACTTTCTGTTCGATCTCATCAGCCCACGGAGTTGAAAGATCTCCATCTTTTAAGGTCTTGGCGCCAAATATCCCAAAAAACTCGAGTGGCAGATTTAAAGGCAAACTCCATTGCCTTGGTGCTACTCATACTTGAGCCTGTGGAAACTTTCTCGAGAATGGGCCAACGAATATTTTGTGTTCATATGCAAATGTAGGCAACACAATGTATTCCACGGGATACCCCAACTCTTTCACAAGCTGCAACAAGGAGCACAAAGTATAATCAAATGCTAATATTTTAAATTGCACTAAGAAAATGAAGGGGAAACAGTTGAGGTTCAAAGGATAGAATAGGCATCTTAGATTCCTTTTTTAAAATTTGAATTTCAATAAACCCAAGAACAAAGTGTGATTCTCAGCATAAAAAGTAGACTATAATATAGGTAACTACTTAAATAACTACCTGGATACACTCCTTGGTTGGCGCAATTATTGCATGAATCCATAACCCGCCCGATTTAAGTTTGATTACAGTCATTCTGATGTTTGTTGAGACACTGCTGAACCCGAGTGCTTGTTCTTGTTCAAATAACCACATACAGTCTTTTACAGCCTGACATATTAATTATGGATTATTTAATAACATAAAATGTCAGTAAAAAAATGATAGTAACCCAATAACAACATCCCAAGTTGTATAAATCAAGGCACTCGGTACATTTCCCTGTTACAACATAAGCGGGTGTTTATTTAAGCTATTTTAAACTGATTCATCTGTTAAATTAAAGGCATATCTTTTAACTTTTAAGCTGTTTTGCAGAATTCCTAAAAATGATTATGGGGTATCAATTTAAGAAGAACCTCCATCAAGTTAATGTTTCATTCAAAATGTCGACTTAGATAGGATCAGTTGTTCAATGCCATAAATGGTGGTTTATATTTTTAATTTCATTTCATGTGAGATCACCTAATGGCTAACGTGCCCGCAAAATGGTTGCTCAAAGAAATAGACCAAGGTTTGAAGTCCTTGTGCTCATTTATTTAGGCTTACTAGACTCACTCAAATAGTTAGTTTAAGCATAATGACAGTATGTAATGAATGCTGTTGGTTTGTTCTCTAAGAAACTCAGTGTACATTGATGGTTGGTTTGTTCTCTAACAAACTCACTTAATGAACCTGAAACTTAATCCAATCACCATTGTGTTTTCGTTATTTTGGGTAAGGATCATATCATAACTGCAACTAGCTGAGCACAGCAGTCCGGGTGTCTTATAAGAATCAATACCAAACAACAACTCTGGATTAAACCCGTTCTCCTCATAAAACAATAAGTTGTAACTAAAAGAGTTCCAAGAATCAATATGATCTTTTTGCCAAACACCTCAAAGTTGGACATCTTAGCAGAACTCCTAAGATAAAAGAACAAAGTTTAAGAAATGACCGATTATGTCTCTTTAACTTCATATATTACATCAATTTGAAGCTCACATTTACTAATCAAATAGTGACTGTGAAACTACTTCGTAACGAGACACGCACCACAGTCCGGATGGTGCGGCGGTTGAGGAAAGGGCCGAGAGGGAAGGGGAATCCAGTAAAATTGACATAGAGCCTCCCACGGCCGCCGCCGCCGCTCTTGGACGCCGATTTTCCGGAAGCGGCGGAGGTTACTTCCAAGCTAACAGCATGTCTCCCTCTGCCTCTCCTCGGTTGCATCTGTAAAGAGATGCCCTTTAATGGCGACCCGAGGCTAAAACTGGAGGTTAACTCATTGAGAGGTGATGATGGGCTGTGCCCGGCGGTTACTTTTGGTGGGCGTATAGCCGCCATGGCTGTAGCCATTTCTGTTAAAACGGGCGGTCGAGCAAGAGATGAAGGCGCGTTTGGAAGCAGAAAATTTCAGAAGTAAATTTTCTGAAAAAACTGATTAGAGTAAATTAGAGCATCACCGGATTTCACCCGAACACCCCAGCTTGTGCTCCCTGAAGGAGCAAAATCAAGTTTTGAGAATCAGAACAGAGCCGGCGGGTTCTCCAATTTCAGGTTGCATTTTTGATACGTAAACAGAACAGAATTATTATGGCCAAGTGTAAAATTGTGAATACATTTGTAATAGAAAATGTCCCTTTCATTTTAGCCTTTAAAATAAAAAAAAACAATTTATATAAAAAAAAATGACACCACATGAAAGCCTCCAGCGAATTAGATTTTAGTTCAAGTACTTATAATAGAAACATTATACATTTTTTTCATATTCTTATACTCCATAATTATAAGGATTCGATCGCCAGATTTATCCTTACGACACTCCTATTTGAAAGCTTTCTTCATTATTTGTAGGGGTGACCCAAACCGCCCGGCCCGTGAACCGACCCGGCCCGTTACTGTGCAGGCTCGGACCGGCCCGGAATGGCGGTTCGGGCTTTGAACCAGCCCGATCGGGTAGGATGATTCGGGCAGGGGCCCTAATTTATGAGAACCGGCCCATCCGGTTCGGACTCGGTCCGAACCTTTTTTTTTATTTTTTTTGGGTTTGGGCTGGGTTTAGTTGGGCTGGGCTGGGTATTTCCGAGGGGTTTGGGGGGTGGGGGGCGGGGGGAGGGATAGGGGGTGGGGGTGAAATAAATAAGAAATAAAAAAAATTGAACCGGAACCGGAGCGGCCCGGCCCGGAACCGCCGCCTACCCAGGCCGGTTCCGGTTCTCCCTTTCCCAAAAAAAGCCCGCCCGGGCCCAGGCCTGGCCCGGAACCGACCCGGCCCGGGTCCACCCATAATTATTTGTTCATAATACTCTATGACTATCGGTCTATCCTTCCTCACGTTTTTGCCAAATTTCTATGTGGCTTATGCTATTCAGTTTACAGTTTACTCATCGCGAAATTTTTCGATTTGGTTAAAAAAGGAGTAACATTTATTTGAGAGTAACTAAAAGAAGGAAACAAACATTTTTTCTATTTTGGGATACAATATTATTTTTTCTTAAATACGGAGTATGTTGTCTATATTATTTTAGGTCTTACAATATCGGCAAACTTCTGGGGAGGAAAAAGTATTTATATAATTGTATCCGTTCGTGGATGGGTTCATTGGGCTGTTAGCGTTTCTTTCTCGTAAAACTATGTATAATCTTATTGATTTTAATTGCTCAAAAGAAAATCACGACTTACAAAAATTAATTAGTTTAGTGCTCCCTCTCTATATACGGAGTTTTTATATACTTGCAAGTTGCAAGTTTGCAACATATTCCAATCTTCAAAATATTTATACACTTGCAACACTTTCCAACTTCCTTTCTTCATACGATTTCCATGTAAAATATCTAATTACCATTAAAAAAAATTTTCTTTTCATTTTATCTTTCATATTCTTTTGTTACAAATTCAGATGGAGCATATTGAGTGTTATAAATTCAGTGTGAAAAAAATACGGAGTACATAAATAAATATATGCTCAAAAAATGTTAAAAAGAATCTGTTGGTCTTGAGTCTTGACTATCAATATGTGCGCCTCCCCTAAAGTGCGTTAGTTATTCTTCTTCACTATTATGCTACGTCCTGAAACTCTTTTCAACCCCTTTTCCCTAGCCATGCCTCCCATATGTGCTACTTCTTCCCACTTGTGTTGTCCAGCGTACAAATTTGACAATAAACCATAAGCACTTGCATTCTCAGGTTCCATACTCAACAGCCGGCTCCCTGCACATTCTCCCATCTCTCCCTTTCCATTAACCATGCATGAGGCAATGAAAGCCCCTAACGCCGAAGCGTTTTCCCTCAACCCCTCACAGTTCAGAAGGTAATTCGCTTCCTCCAGCATCCCTCCTCGGCTTAGCAAGTCCACCATGCACCCGAAGTGCTCATCCGTAGGGACCAATCTGTAATCTTCCATCATTGTCCTGAAAACAGATAGCCCCTCTGGTAATGCTCCTGAATGGCTGCAGGCCGATAGTAAAGACGTGAACGTGTAGTTATCAGGCCCCACTTTTTTCATCCTCATTTGGTTGAACAGTTCAAGTGCACGGACGCAATCCCCGTGTGCTCCATATGAAGATAACATTGTGTTCCACGAAGATAGATCTCGTTCGGGCATTCTATCAAAAAGAACCCGGGCACAATTTAGATCTCCACATCTGCTATATGCCATGATCAGAGAGTTAATGACGAGAATGCCCTCTTGCACATCTATCTGCCGACAGGCACGGTTGTGTACCTCTCTTGCAAAGCTTAAACATCCAAGCTGAGTAATAGCCTGAAGAAGAGCTACAAATGTGAAGGAATCTGGATTTATGTTTTCTCTTTGCATGGAACGGAACAAGACCAAGGCTTCATTTGCCTCGCCGTTATTAGCATGGCCCATCATAGCCGAAGTCCATGATACTATGTCCTTTTCTGGTATCCCCCCAAACACTTCACTCGCGTGTTTAATTAGACCACACCTTGAATACGTCTCAATGAGCTGGTTAGCTATGTCCGTGGTAGATTCAAGCCCAGATTTGAGCAGGAAGCAATGGATGGCATTTCCTTGGGTGACATCTTTCATATCAGATATTGCAGAGAGTACACAGATGATTGTACTTATGTTTGGCTTGAAACCCAAGCGTAGCATTTCATGGAATAAGTTCCATGCTTGTTTTGGAAGACCATTTTGAGTGTAACTGCTTATCATCACATTGAACAGGACCACATCCATGTGATCCGCTCTATCAAATATGGTTTCAGCATGGACCAAATGGTTGCATTTTGAGTACATATCGATAAGAGTTGTATTAGCTATGAGATCAAGGTTAATACCAGATCGGATGACATAAGCATGTATGCTCTTTCCCCCAAACAAGTACTGAAGTTCAGCACAGCTTGATAGTGCACTTGTTATAGTGATCTGATCAGGTTTGTGGGTGCTGTCTGTCATTAGTTCAACAAATAGTTCCAAAGCCTCCAAAGGCTGTCCTAATCTGAGATGGGCAGTGACCAAAGCGTTCCAGGAACCGATACTCTTTTCACTGATATTCGCAAATACAGCAATGGCCTTTTCTGGGACTTCACATTTTATATACATGTCCATTAGAGTTGTCAGGAAAACATCGTTTGAACAACCAATCCCTCTTCTGAGAGCATACCCATGGATTGCATTTCCCTCTTCCACTGCTCCCAAAGAAGATGCTGCTTGAAGTAAGCTAACCAGAGTTACCCGGTTTGGTTCAAGGTTTTCCTTCTGCATCTCACATGCAATTCTAAACGCCTCATAGGCATACTGAAAACCCAATTGAGCACATCCTGTAATCATCACTGTATAAACAACTACATCTTTTGCAATTATTTCGTCAAACACCTTAGCTGCATCACCAATGGCAGCTCTATCTGAATAGAATTTGGCCAGAAACGACCCAACGTTTTGATTTGTATTCAACCCGAGCTTCACTACATCCACATGAACAGATCTCCCAAATTTGAAATCACCCAACTCGGCGCAGCTCTTCAGGGTAAAAATTGCTGCTGAGCCATAGACAAGGATGTTCCTTCTCTTTAACTCTACATACAACCTGAGGACTTCGCGGTAGTGAAACGCCTTGAAATAGCCAACAAAAGCCTGGTTCCATATAAAAATGGATATTCGATCGCTGTCCGTGAATCTTCCAAACAACCATTTCGATTCCGGTAAAAGATTGAACTTTGCGTAGCTATTGAGAAGCTTTGAGCCCAAAGCCGAGTCTTGTTCGAAGCCGCGTGTTAGTATGCAAGTATGTAGCTTCTTCAGTGAATCTGCGTCCGAACAGTTCTCAACAAAAGAAGCAAGCTCTGTAGATGATGAAAGTGAAGTAAATGGTGGGATCTTTCCGATTAAACTAGAAAAGAAGAGAGGGCGAGGCCGTCTGAAAGAAAAGAATACCTTGGGAATTTCAGGGTGTAGAAGAACTTTCATATCACAAAATCGAATCTGGAAGAACTTTGAGGGCCCTACGATTTTATTGTACTGCGCCCGAGCTTCACTGCATCCAGATGAACAGCTCTCCCAAACTCAGACCTGGGTTTTGTCTTGTATAGTTAATTCAGAGGTGACAAACAAAAATTGTCTATGGAAAAGATCTTAAAATAAAATTATTTGGAGCTTTTTTCCCGATTAATGCTAATTAATAAATTAATTATGAAATTAGGGTTGAATTAAAAGTTATTACCTACATACTGCTGGGATTAACCCTGGTCGGACAAAGTCGCCAAACGGTTTGGCGACTTTCCCCGACCAAAGTTAAATCCAGCAGTAGATTTGCAAATAGTTTTAACCACACATTAATTCCGTAATTATTTAATTAATTAACATTAATCCAGAAAAAAACTCTAAAAAATTGATATCCTATTAGAGTTCTCATATAGTTTTGTGATGAAGTGTACTCTAATGGAATACAAGTTAAAATGATTAACAATCACATCTTATGGGACATTTTGATGTTTGAGTTTGAGTTTCATGTTATCTCAAGTTATATGTTCCCAATGTTAATGGAATAAGTGTTGGATTATTGAGCCCCTTGCTGAGATTATTCTTTTTAATTTTAAATTAGAATGCACACAAAGATAAACATAACGAGTTTTATAAACAAAAATGATGTTTGTACACATTTTTGTACACACCTATATGTGTGAAAGTTTTTTGTTTGTGAACATCGATTCACAGACAATGTTTTGCACAGAAAAATATCAAAAATGATGTTTGTACACACTCTTATACACACTTTTGTACACACCTATGTCTGTGAAAGCTTTTTTTTGTCTGTGAACATCGATTCACAGACAATGTTTTGCACAAACAAAATATTGTCTGTGAACCGGATTCACAGACAAAAAAAGCTTCACAAACATGGTGTGTATAAGGTGTGTACAATGGTGTGTACATCAAGAATGGTTGAAAAAATATTGTCTGTGAACCGGATTCTTAGGCAAAAAAAAAAGCTTCACAAACATGGTGTGTATAAGGTGTTTACATCAAATAAATTACTATGATTGTCCCTACATGTTATCAAATATACATATAATTGAACGATTATATTCATATTGTTTCTCCAATGAAAGAAGAGGCCAAGTGTTATAATCTAGCATAAAAATAATGAATCAAAATTAATGATGAATCAAAATTAAGTGTTATAATCTAGAATTACTACGGTCACAAGACTGTAGTAATTCTAGCCATATACTATAATAAGAGAATAATTTCAAAATTATAAGCATGAATCAAATTAGTGACATAAATGGTAAGAAATTATTTGTGAATCACATTAACTTTATTTACTCCTACAGTATGACCAATATAATATGACTTAATGTATGGCATGTTTACTATCGTTGAAGTTAATTCCCTCAATCTAAAAGTCCCATGCAAAATCATTGGTAGGGGTTTGTTTAGTTATTATTACTTAAATAAATAAATCACGAAGGGAATGATATATGATTAACTTTCTCCGTACTAGGCTCAACCTAGTTGGGCCCGTCCCAATTCATTCAGACGATTAATCCAATTTTTCACGTTCAAGTTAATCTCACTCACTAATAAAGAGATCAAACGCTAAAAATAAATATCTGTCTGCCTGCCTGCCTGCCAAATGAAATTATGAGGTGGTATTAATAGCTCTATAGACTATAGTGGATTGGGGAGGACATGTGTTTGCTCATCATTGATTAGCTATCACATCGGGAGATCTTTAGCTAAATACATAGATATTAGCTACGCTAATGGGCCTGGCCTGTAATTAATTGTAATTAGCTCTTTTAATACTTTATTAGTTTAGTTGGGTCAAGGGCTTTGTTTAGCCAATCCTAAACTGTATATATATACTGATTTCCATATGAATAAAAACCAAGGGGAAAGATTTACCCTATTATTAAGTCTAATTATTCCATCAAAATTGAATATGGTATCAGAGACATAAACAGTCTGCGCAGCCCGTCTTCTCTCTCGCAAACGTCCGCACAGAACACCAGCGTGCTCTGTTTTCAGCGGAGATGGGAGATCCGAGCTCGCCGTACTACTTGGGATCCGATGACCAACCTGGGAACCTCATCACACATGTTACATTTCGAGGGGATAACTACGTTGCCTGGTCTCGCGCGTTCGCTTTATCTCTCAAAGCTTGCCGGAAAAGCGGCTTTGTAGACGGAACAATAACGAAGCCGGCAGAAGCTTCTAAACATCTCGATTGGGATACGGTTAATTCCATGATTGTTTCGTGGATATTACGGAGTATGGAACCAACTGTTGCATCCTCCATTCCTTTTCATGATGAAGCTCGGTCCTTGTGGGTGTACCTGGAAAAACGGTTCAGCGTCGCCAATGGTCCACGGCTGCAACAATTGAGAGCGTCAATCACTGCTTGCAGACAGTCCGCCAACATGACGGTGGACACCTATTATACGACTCTAATGAGTCTCTATGATGAACTATATCGACTGAAACCTCTCCACACATGCACGTGTGGACGTTGTACGTGTAACGTCGTTGGTAAATTTGCGGCAGACCGCGAGGAAGAACAGTTCCACCAGTTTTTGATTGGAATCGATGACGAGGCTTATGGTACAGTCCGTTCAAATCTTTTATCACATACGCCATTGCCGGACATTAACAGAGCTCACCAGGCTTTCCTTCAGGAGGAAAACTCGCGTGCAATTGCTCGAGGGAAGGCACCAGCAGCTGACATTCATGCTTTTGCCCTTACATCTGCACGCACTGCCATGGGACGGACTGATAAGCCAAACAAAAAGAAACTGTTGTGCTCCCATTGTAAACAAAAAGGACACGAAATAGATGCGTGCTTTAAATTGCACGGCTATCCCGATTGGTGGGAAGAAAGAAATCGCACAAAAGGGCCGATGACTAGCCGTGGAGGGGGGGGGGGGGGGTTCGGACACATGCTGTGTTCTCTGCTGCAGCCACTCAAGGAGTGGACACCTCCTCTTCCAGTAACGTGACAAACGGGCTAAATGAGCTAAGCAGGGAGCAAGTCCAGGCGCTGCTGAGTTTTATTAGCTCTAACAGTAGTGCTGAAAATAGAATGTCGGGTAAGTCATCTAAATTGGAGTGGATTATTGACACTGGAGCATCGCACCACGTGACGGGTGACCTCACGTGTCTCACTCAACGAACTAGTATTCACCCATGTCCGGTCGGTTTGCCGGATGGACGAACGGTTGCCGCTATTTTGGAGGGGCGTGTGCACCTCTCTTCATTTTTGGTTCTTGATCATGTTTTATTTGTTCCCGGATTGACCTGTCACCTTATATCTGTTTCACAGTTAATTGATCAAGCTTCTTGTATTGTTACTTTCACTAATTCACTTTGTGCTATACAGGACCTACGCTCGAAGAACCTGATTGGAGCCGGTGAACGGCGAGATGGGCTATATTATTTCCGTGGGGTACCTGCTCTGCATGCTGTCATCACATCAGAACTATCAGATTTTGAGTTGTGGCACCGCCGTTTAGGTCACCCTTCCGACAGAGTAGTTAAATTATTACCTGCTATTAGTACTAGTTCTGCTAAGAAAAAGTTGAATAAAGCTTGTGAGGTATGTCCGCAGGCAAAGCAAGTGCGTGACTCTTTTCCTCTTAGTAGCAATAAAGCGAGTCGTATTTTGGAATTAATACACTGTGATTTGTGGGGTCCTTACAAAACCCCGTCTACTTGTGATGCTATTTATTTCATGACTTTGGTTGATGATTACTCACGTGCTGTGTGGGTATATTTGTTACGTGACAAAAAGGAAGTAGGTCGTTATTTCCCTTCATTTATCACTATGATTGAAAAACAATATGAGGTGTCAGTAAAAACTATTTGCAGTGATAATGGGACAGAATTCAGATGTATGTTACCTTATTTTGAACAGCACGAAATTCTTTTTCAGACCTCCTGTGTCCTGTGTAGACACACCCCAACAAAACGGCAGGGTTGAACGTAAGCACCGCCACATATTAAATGTGGCTCGTGCCTTAATGTTTCAAGCAAATATTCCTATTTTTTGTGGGGTGAATGCGTATTAACTGCAGTGTATCTCATTAATCGTACACCGTCTGGACTCTTGGGTGGCAAAACTCCGTATGAAATTCTTAACGGGAAGCCACCGGATTTTCATCACTTGCGGGTTTTTGGGTGTCTCAGCTATGCTTATAACCTAAAATCCCGCGGTGATAAGTTTGCTCCACGTAGCCGGCGATGCGTATTTATTGGCTATCCAGCAGGGAAAAAGGGTTGGAAATTATATGATTACTCTACTGGAGATATTTTTGTATCGCGTGATGCTAAATTTCACGAGGATGTTTTCCCCTTTCCAGTGGGGTCCGATGCTTCTACTGAGAGTGCCGTAGACATGAGCTTTCAACCACAAATTATTATTGATCCGGACCAAATTTCTCCAGCCCAAGTAGCACCTCCAGATTCCGATGTTATAAATGATACTTCTTCCCTGGTGACATCTACGGCCGAGACTTCGTCCATGCCACAACCTGCACTTGGTCGAGGTTTACGATCGAAACGTCCATCTGTACTCCTCCAAGATTTTGTTACTCATCATATTCGGACGACAAGCCCATCTCCGCCGTCACCCGCCTCGGTTAGTGCCTCAGGTACGCCTTATCCTATAGCTCATTATGTGAATTGTGATAAGTTTTCTACTCGTTATCGGCAGTTTCTTGGAGCTATTTTTGCAGGACATGAACCACGTTCCTTCCGAGAGGCAATGACCGACCCTGGGTGGCGAGAGGCCATGCAAAGTGAGATTCGAGCACTTGAAAATAATCATACTTGGGATATGACTACATTACTTACTGGAAAACGGGCGCTTGGCTGCAAATGGGTTTATAAAGTCAAATATCTCTCGGACGGGAGCATTGAACGGCTCAAAGCACGGTTGGTTGTTTTTGAGAATCACCAGAAGGAGGGTATTGATTATACTGAGACCTTTGCCCCTGTGGCCAAAATGGTCACCGTCCGTATTTTTTTAGCTGTGGCTGCAGCTAAGAATTGGGAGCTGCACCAAATGGATGTTCATAATGCCTTTCTTCATGGGGATTT